GAAGCTGTAGAGAGCAAGTGGTGGGCGAGGCCAAAGAAGAAGCCTCACCCTGCCTCCCACTATCTTCAGTAGGTGGTGAAGAAACCACTGATGCCAACCTGCCCCTCAGAGATGGCTTTGGACTTCCTGGGATTGCCCGGCTAGTAAGCCGAGGCAGGTCTGCCACTCAGAAGCCATGTCCAGGGCCTCTGAAAGTGTTCTTCCCAAAAAGGGTCTCCAGTGTGGACCACTGAAGGCCTTGAGGTGAGGGGCGAGCCTGACCTGGGCTTCCTATGCCCTCAGGCCACCCTCACCCTCCACCCCCACCAGGGCTAGTAGGTGACCTCGCGTCAGCTGCCTATGCAGAGTCTGTGGCACCCCCCCAATAGTGTCTAAATGGGTCTAGTCTGTTTGCTAGGTGATGGAGCTCCTCTGGGTTACTGCCAGGCTAGGTTCCCTATGGTCCTTAATGCTTTTACAGTGAGTATGGAGTACAGCCTGTTTCCTAAGACTGTTAACAAAAGATAATTGTCACGTTGTACACGCAGGCCTCCCTCTTGATGAAAGCTATCCTCACTGTTCAGCTCTTGCCTTAGCACAGCCTCAAGAAAATGAGCCCAGGGTTACTGGAATTTGTTTGGTTGGTTTTTTTTTGTTTTTTTTTTTTTTTTTTTGGAATTTTTTTGGAATTAAAAGCCTTCTAACCTCCAGTATGTCAGATTGTAACCCTGCAATCCTCTTGCACTTTGAACAAAGCCTGGGATTTTTCTTTTGCCTGTATATGAACTAGAGACAGAACAGAGTCAGCAGGGCCTCCAGGAGACGTTAAGCCCCCTTGCCCAACAGGCCACACTTCCTCCCTCACTCTAACTCACAGACAAACTGAACATTGTGTTGTAGTGGAAATGGGAGAAGATTCATGGCCTGGGAACACCTGTGCTACCAGGGCTCAGATTTACAAGCTATGTCATGCTTCTGTGCTTTAGAAAATGACCTCATCTCCTGCCAGGCCACAGGCATCAGGTTGCAGATGATTCTAGAAGATGTTTTTAAAGTTAGGGATGGCCATTGTAAGAGTACTGAAATCTCTGGCGCTTCATGGCTTCAGGGTGCAGGGGTATGTGGTATCTCCCCACCCTGTTTGACCTTCCATCTCTCTGGAAAATCCTGTTGTCACCTGTCCGAGATGGACGTCCAGTGGGGTGCTCACCCCCGGAAAAACAAACTGCTTATCAGGGAGTAACTCCTTAGCTATAATAACAGGATAAATTTGCTCTCCCCGAAAAGACTTGATCATGTGGTTCCCAGTTCAAAAACCTAATTTGGGTTAGACAGGTGAGGGAAATACATCAGGGTCTTGCAATAAAGCAGTTTTCCTGTATCCCAGGTAAAGAAAAAGTAGTTTCAAATTTAGAGACAGGGAAGTCACCCACAGTGGATGCCTACACCTTCCTCTGTTCCCCAGCTCGAGGCTGTGCTGATCTACAAGGGCCCTGACATGATGCCTGACTTGTGGCCCACTTGTATGGGACAACAGCTATCAGGAACCCCTCCTCCATCCTCACTCCATCTGATGAGCGACCTTGCAGGCGGCACCTGCAGAGAGCAGATTTCTGGGCAGAGACGGCTCTGCCATCCCACCTGGCCTAGGACCTCACAGTGTTCACTTCAGTTACCCCCCCCCAACCTTAATTTCAGTAATTAATCCCTTCTTCCCTCCCTCCCGTCCTCCTTTCCTTTCACTCCCTCTTCCAGAGATCCATGCATGCTAATGATTATCCTCTTTGGAAAGTATGAATAGGCCTTCCTGAGTTAGAGGTTGGGCCATTTAGGCACTAGCTGGAGTTAGGCTGAGCCGCATCACATCCTCTCTCACAGCATCTCTGTGAGATCAGCCACGCTAAGGGAAGGGGGCATGTGGTACTCAGGGCTAGAGGACCAACTTAAGTTGGTCAGCATATGACTGCTGGGAGGAAGATATCCTAAGAGGTGGGAGGACATTACAAGTAAGGGGCTAGAAGGGTATTAAGCACAGCTGTGTTCTGTGTCTGAGAGACCAGCTCCTTACTCAGGAAGGGGAGGGAAATGCTTCCCATCCCTCTTGCCTGCCCCGTTGTCTGAGTGGGGCACCACTTCTGCTAAAGCCTAGGGTCTGAAACTCAGTCCCTCCTCTTCCAGCCGCAACCCCTTCCTACGCCCTGGACATCTGTCAGTCTTGGTGGTATGGGCTCATCTCAGGGGAACAAAGACTCAGAAAGATCTTTACGCTAGAAGAAGAGCTCAGATTCTTTGGCTAATTCCCAATTAGACAGAAAATCAAAATAGCCAGAGTCCTCCACTCCATATTATCCTTGTTAATTTTTAGACCTGGCATGTTCATCTCTCTAATGCTTTTAAAATCGACAGAATAAACGCCACATCATCCTCACATTTGCTGTCACAAGATTATCAGAGTAGCCAAAATTAATACTTAGTTGGAGCATTAAATCTGCGATGCTTTCTTCCATGAGTCTACTCAAGTAAAGAGATTTTCTACTTGGTAGAATTTTCTCCTACCAAGAGAAACTTCTGAGTAAATACTCAGAGATACACCTACTGGTCTTGCAGTGGACAGAGCCCCATTGAAAGAAAGGAACAGGGGACTCCAGTTCAATCAACTTCTGTCTCCGTACAAACTCTGGGGGTGAGGGAGGGGGCAGTGTAGCTGGCGCTGAGATCTCTCCAGAAGACTTCACCTCACAGCAGAATTCCTGCTTCCATCCAGCAATGGCCTAGGTGCCAAGCAAAGTAGACCTTGCAGAGAAATGAAACTTACTTATTCTCAGGCCTAACTTTTCTCTAGGTGGACTGGATTCAATAGACATGCTGTGCGGATGTTGACTTGTCTCCTTTCTAAAGGGAGCATGATCAGGGTGAATTTTAGGTGTTCTCAGAACTCTCTAGGCATGCCTGCAGTACACACAAGCCCCGTGTTCTCTGCGTTTTGACCACTCTGTCTTCATAGAGCTCTCATCCTCGTAATGTCTTAATGTCCCGCTCTGCTTCTGGTGTGCCTGCTGGTCTTCCTAGCATGAGCAAGAGAGGTCCATGACCACGATCCTCAAAGCTGTCCCTGAATTTAAATGATTACCATTTACTGAGCATGGACTAGGTGTTAGGCATGTCCTCAGTTGTTTACATGCATGAACCCATTTACTGCTGTCAACAACCCTATAAAGAAGGTACTAGTTTCCCCCTTTTCAGACAAGGGCATTAAGGTCAGTGATGTGGGGGCACACAGCTAGCAGGCGGCAGAGGCAGAGCCCAAACCTGGGCAACCTCAAAGTGCAGCCCTGGGAACACTCACTCTCGCTGCACAGGCTGACCCAATTCCTGCTCCTCCGTGAGTTCTGGAGTGCTGTATTCATGCAGGCCATTCTGGAAGCACCTGGCACTCACATCACCATATGAGAAAGATGAATTCAAGGGGTGATACTTTGGAAAAAACATGAATTTAGATAAAACATTAGCTGGTCTAATCAAAATAGTGAGGAAGCACAAATACAACATTAGAGATGATAAGGGGGAAATAAGCACATGTAGAAGAAATATAAAGAAGCAGATTATGTTTTATCTTTTTGCCCATATCTATTTGCACTACACGATACACGTGAGATTTTCAAGAGGAAATGTCGAGTAGACCACTGTATATGTGGGTCGTAATCTTCTCTGGCAGTAGTTGTATGCTTGTCATGTGTCGCAGTAAGGTGGTCCACAGCAGGTGCTTCAGGGGGAATCCCGTGTTTGCTCCCAAGATAGAAAGATACCGCATTTTCCTCTGCTAGAGCAGGGGTGGCTGGCCCCACTTGCCACTTGTATTAGTAAATAAAGTTTTCTTGGCACACTGCCATGACCATTCATTTACGTGTTACCATACATTTATGGAAGCTTTTGTGCCTCAACAGCAGAGTTGAATACCTGAGACAGAGCCCAGGTGGCCCCCAAAGCCTAAAATATATACATCTGATCCTTCACAGAATAAATTTGCTAGCCTCTATGCTGGTACCCTATGATTTCTCCAGTTTCAGACTCATTCCTAGTTAATTTCTTGGTTCAGAATTTCCAAACCAAGTAGGTGATGCAGATGGAGACCTCACACATGTACCTGCCCCCTGTGTGGTGTACCAGCTTCAGATGCTATTTTTCTTACATAACCTCATCACAGGAGTAATATTTCATCATTTTAGCATGTTTCACTCACCATCACAGGGGAGGAACTAGACAAAGATGAGGGGCATATGGTGTCATCCTAGAATTCTGCCTACTGCGCTGCCTTTTTGTAGGGAGCTCTGTTCCATCTTCCTACCACACAGAGTCCTCAGGCCTCATCTCCAGTCCTTACTCTTATAGAATATACCTTTTTTTCTCATACCTTCATGGACTATTCTGCTTCAGCCTCCACTCACTGCTCTGGCTTCCAGTTGCTTCATTTTCTATACCTGAGGTTTTCCTTTTCTTGCTTTCAAGATTGGCATATATTTAAAAATACTTTCATTGTATTATAATCAGTATGTTTATATGTTTGGAATGATTGAGTTTCTTCCTTCAATGGCATATCAACCATATTTTCCCAAATTTTAATGTTGTAAAACTAGGTTCTAAGATAACAGAGTCCATTAAAGTAAGTGGACCCTTGGAGCCCTCCCCTCAGTGAGCAGCAACCAGAGTTAAAGGAAGAATTAATGGTTAATCGACCGGAAAACTATACCAATGTGTTCAGGTCTGGGGACTATTTTCCCCGTTTGCATTAGCTTTGCTTACCATATTGCTGGAGAGCTAAAATGTATGAAAACCAAGGGAAGTAAACTGCTGTATCCTTCTGAGACCTAAATCTTTGCTGAGAAACAGGTAGATTAACTAGGTCCTCTTGTCTAAATACTTATTATTTTCAAATAGTTCGCCACCACTAAAAGCATTTTGATCCTGTTTCCATTTCAAATCTATAAGCAATCTTCAAATGTTGTTATGGTACTTTTCTTCAGATGTGGCCGAGCAGTATTTTCAAGAGAGCATGGCGAATCTTAAGGATGCTGAAGGAATGGGAAAAGCCAAATTTCTTTCAATTCAAGATGATTATTGCCATTTTCTACAAGTCATAGGACAAAAAGAGGTAAGTGAGTTTGGATCAGAGTTGACTAGTTAATTTACATGAGTTGTTATACAAAGGGCTACTCTTGGGCAGCCCCCGTGGTGCAGCGGTTTAGCGCCGCCTGCAGCCCGGGGCATGATCCTGGAGACCCGGATTGAGTCCCACATCAGACTCCCTGCATGGAGCCTGCTTCTCCCTCTGCCTGTGTCTCTGCCTCTCTCTCTCTGAATAAATAAATAAATAATTCTTTAAAAAAACAAAACAACAACAACAACAAAAAAAAAAAACAAAGGGCTACTCTTTCTACTCTGCAAGCAGCCATTAAGCCTACATGTCCAAGGCATGTGCTAAGCTCCCATTGGGACAGGGATAAATAAAGCCAGGTGGCCTCTCTCAGCAGCTCCCAGATACTCAGTCTGGGGAAATGAAAACTATTCATGAGAATAGAATGCCATGCACCTCACCCCCCCCACAAAGGATCTTAAAGGACTAGAAACCTTGAAAACCCAATGGGCAGACCCTGATTATCATAGCCTGCAGTTATGTCTGGGATAGGGGGTGGTAGATAATATGCCTGATTCCTCTCTCCTTATTTTGGGTTATAGATGGAATTTACATATCTAATGAGAACTATGCAGCACAGAGGTTACAGCTCGTGGTCCATTGAACCATACAAGCATGCTTTTTTATGGCTTGTATGCTTTATATGCTTTATGTCAAAATGGAAGACGACCCAGAGTTTATATTCACTTAATTAAACCCTTGGAAACTTATTCCATGCAAAACCAGCTACCAAAAAGCCACTTGCTGCGGCTTGATTTATATAGGTATATCTGTTTTCAACTTTAACCTATCAAGGCAAATCCTTGAGATAAAAAACATTTATTTCTTCTGCTGTTCTGTAGACCTCCCCCCTCTCTTGGAGATTTTAGCCCTTAACTCCCCGCACCATTCTCTCAATTGATATGAGTTTACGGAACGTGGGTTTATTTGGTTTTTTTTTTTATATATATTCTTTTATTGGAGTTCGATTTGCTAACATATAGTAGTATAACACCCAGTGCTCATCCCGTCAAGTGCCCCCCTCAGTGCCCGTCACCCAGTCACCTCATGCCCCCACCGCCTCCCCTTCTACTACCCCTTGGAAAATAGGTATTTAATATAGATGCATCCATGTTCCTCAGGCCAAAGTAGGACGACAGTAACCATAACAAATGGAGCTTATATGATTTTCTGGATCACTCAACTAAGTAGAAAGGGGCCTTCCAAGGACCTCACATTCTAGAATATCTGTAGAAGTTCTCTGGAGAGTACTCAGGTCAGAAGCCTGGAGGGGAAGAGGGGGAGTGTGCCCATATCATGCCTTCCCCCTTCCAGCTCATCAGTCATTTTAACCTCTAAAATGTCCTGGTTGCCAGATCCACCTCTGCCAATCGTCACCTCCTGTTTGGACCACTCAGACTCTGGTCCCCCAGCTGCATTTTTCACTCTTGCCTTTTTCTCATCCATTATGAATAAGGAAGTGATGGTGATATTTTCAAAATGCAGATCTGATCCATGAACCCCTGTTTGCAAAATACTCCAGTGGCTTCTCAATGCCCTTAAAATAAATCAGAATCCTGTATATCTCACAATACCTGCCACATGATCTGGATTCTGCTGACATTTCCAGTCTTATTTTCCCCCCTCCCCTAATCTGTTCTGGCCACGTTGGCCTTTCTAATCCTCACTGATTTAGCTAATGCAGATCTGTCTTTGAGGACTCATCAGTTTTCCTGATTCCTTTCCCCACTCTTCATTAGATTTTTCCCATTGTTGTTCATCATAGAATCCTTTTGACATAATAATGTGATAAGGGGTGCTTGGGTGACACAGTTGGTTGAGCATCCGCCTCTTGGTTTCGGGTCAGGTGATGATCTTGGGGTTGTGAGATCAAGCCCCTTGTTGGGCTCTGCTTGGGATGCTCTCCCTCTCCCTCTGTCTCTCCCACTCAAGGTCTCGCTCTTTCTCAAATAAATAAATTAAAAAACAATATGGTAAGCATGGTATAGGAATAATAAACAATATAATGAGAATAGTAAGTTTTGTGTGGATATGTACTATCTTTCCCGTGATTAGACTGAATTCGGTGAGAGCAGGGATCCTCTTGCTCATGATGGTTAGCCAGATGAGCAGATGGGTGGATGGGTGCTTGGCTGTGGGTCACCTGACTGCTCTGGCTACCACAGGACATCTGCCCTCTCCCCTGTTCTTGTCTGGCATCCTGCCCTGGTGTCTGTCACTGATGCCACACTTCACTGCCCTTGCCCTAGTCACCCACATCAGTGGTACTGAACTAAAAGATGTACCTCGTTCCCCTCAACCTCTCTTGGAGATTTTAGCAAACTGGCTCTTTTTGTTCAATCCCCTGCCAGCCCTTCTGGTGCCCTGGTAAGAATAGAAAAAGCTGTGTCTTCTTCAGGTCGATGCAGCTTGTGCCAGAGCACATTGCTTGGAGAGCGGCACACAGGCTGGATTTCAGCTGTCCTCATTTTCCTGCCCTTGTGCATGACACAACCCATCCAACCGAATGTGGTAGCTTTGCACGGTGCTCACCCTGGTCGCAGCCCTCTTTCTGGATTCTAGCCAGAGTTGACCAACAAGGCTGGGCCCAATGACAGTCCCAGGCATGAGCACGGCCCCGTGCTCAGACTACCCCGGATGTGGTCACAACCCATACATGAGCAGAATCCTGTGCTAACAGGAAGGTGATCTTTGGGAAGGAAAATGCCTTTTAAAGTAAAATGTTACTCTGCCATTTGTGTGAGTTTATCTTCTAGTTTAGCTACTTTCCTGCTCAAGAACTTTCTTCAGCTTCTTACTCCCCGTAAGAAAATCAAAACTCCTGAGCCTGGCATGAAAGCTCTCCACCACCACCAGCCCATCCTGTGACTCATGCCTTGTTTCCCTTCCTACTCTCTGGGTTAGAGTCAGATGAGCCCTCAGGGCTGACCCTGTCCTTCTCCTACCTCATACCTGGGCTCCCAGTTTCCCATGCCTTCTCCTCAGCCCACCCAGGTCCTATTTTTCCTTCATCCCTCTCCATAAAGCTGTTCTAACTTTAACAGACTGACACAGTCAGTCCACCCATGTGGCATCTCTCTTCCATGGCCCTCTCCACCTGCCGTTCAAGTTCATGCATGTCTCTCTCTAGTTTCCCCAATCAGGCTATAAATGGCATTGAAAGCTTCATTTAGAAAAAGAATCTGGCTCTTCTTTCTATCATTGGCTCCTCAAAACCTGACAATCAATTTGCATGGACAAGTTGCCAAGTCTAGCACCTGCGCCATCCCAAATCCTTGCTCAGAGATGCTGGGAATGGATCGCAGTACAAAGGACATGATAGGCTTTAGCATCAGGCAAGTTCCCCATGCACCGAGGTAGGTCACACACTTCACAGTTTACAGTTTCTCTGCTCCTATGTGATTTCATCTTTCTACCAAGAAATTATTTCTGCATCATCAATGCCTTCGCTGCTCCACACCCCTCACCCCTCCCTGGCACTTAACTCATATTATTGCCAATAAAACGTGTAAAGCTTTGCCAGCTCCTTCTGTCTCTGGAGCGCTTATCAGGATGTCTTCAGGGCTATTCGGTGGGGAAAGCCCTTTAACTGGTTCCAGACTTATTTGGCTCTCAAAGTCAGCATTTGTATTCTATAGCCATAGTCAGGCTTTCCTATACAAGAGTATGGGAGAAATTCAGGAGAAATGTTAGGGATGGACAGGCAGGGCTTTCCCTTTGTACATCTTGGTGTCTGACTAAAGAGCTTAATGTCAGAAGATACTGGTTTCTGACCAACTCATGTTTTTTATTCCGCGTTGGTGTAAGTAAATCTGATAAACCAAACAAAATATCAAACGTATTTAATTTTTCTCCATGTTAGAATGTTTCCTTTTGGTTTCCTAAACTATTTCTTATGAGAAATAGAAAACCCTGGAATATGTTCTGGATGTTTTGTAAGGACCTAAATTGCCAGGAAACTCTGACTTTTGCTTATGTAAGAACATCACTGAAAAGAATTAAAATTACTGGCCAGATTCAGATCCTGGGTCTGCCCCTGCGGAGCTGTCTGATCCTGAGTAAGTTTCTCGACCACTCTGTGCCTCAGTTTCCTCCTCTGTTCAGTGAGGATTAAAATTGTACTTATCTAGAGGAGACAGAATTAAATGCCCTCACACAGGTAAACTGTCCAGCACAGTTCTTGGCACATAGAGGACACAATAGATGTTAGCATCTGCTCCTAATACTCAGCTGAATCAATTCCTGTAATATCTGAAGTGGCTTTGTTCTCCAAGTGTCGTTCATGCATTCTCTCTCCAGAGTTAACACCTCTCTGTCCCCATCCATGCTGTTTCCTGTGTCCTGTTTAAAGAGGAAAGTGGGCCTAGCTCATGAGACACTACCCCTGAAAAGGGAAAATACACATCAGTTACATCATTTTCTTTTTCTTTTTTTAAAGATTTATTTGAGAAAGAGAGAGTACATGAGTGAGGGAAGGGGCAGAGGGAGAGAACATCCAAGCAGACTCCCACTGAGTGTGGAGCCTGACTCGGGGCTCATAAGCTGAATCCAGCTAATGAGCTGAATCCAAAAGTTAGTTGCTTAACCAACTGAGCCACTCAGCAGCCTCCAGTTACACCATTTTATTAAGAGGCATTGATCTTTATCAGCCTTTGAACTTTCTTACCAAACTTTAGCTTTTGTTCCTTTCACAGAAAGCAACCTCAATCCTGAGAGAGTCCTTGGAAGCCAAAGTGGCAGTATTTGGTGACCTCAGTCCCAAGGTGGCAGAGACGTACCGGCTGTTGGGTGGGACCGACCTGGCTCAGGGGAACCACAGTGGGGCCCACAAGAAACTGAAGAAGGTAAAGCTGGAGCCAATACTAATATGGAGAAAATTCTCTCCCTCCACCATGCTGTTTTTAAATGAAACTTTAACAGAGGCTTATGTGGTAAGATGACACCACTTTCACAGTCAATCTAAGCCAACAGTCTTTGGATAAACAGTACAGTAATCCACTTATACACCTATGTTGTTAGATGAATTATCAATTATTTTTTTACCACGCAAATATTTTTAAAATTTTGCCTACTGCATTTTATCAATCTTTTATTGTACTCCTTTTGTACACACAGTTTATGGAGGAATTCTTGTGTGTGTTCTTTAGTATTTATATGTTTGTTTCTTTTTAAATTTGAAGTTTGTCTGTATGGAAGGTGTGAGGTAAGGATCCAATGTTATCTTTTTTTCAAATGGCTACCCAGTTGCCTAGCATTATTTTATTAAAGAGCCCATCTGTGCTCCAATGACTTAAGAGAACACCTTCATCATGTACTACCCTTCTATATATACTTGAGTATATTCCTAGCTTTCTATTCTCTTCTATTTGTCTCTCTGTTTACTCAAATTCCAGTGTGTCATTATCTCAATTATAGAGATTTCATAGTATGGGTTAATAGCTGGTAGGACTCAACTCCCTGAACGGTGCATGGTTTTTTATCTCTCTAGAGTATCAGGCTTTCTAGACATTTTTGTATATTTATTTTTCTTTATTTTTCCTTTTTTTTTTAAGATTTTATTTATTTTTTTTCATGAGAGACACAGAGAGAGAGAGAGGCAGAGATGCAGGCAGAGGGAGAAGCAGGCTCCATGCAGGGAGCCCGATGTGGGACTGGATCCCAGGACTCCAGGATCAGGCTCTGGGCCAAAGGCAGGCACTAAACCACTGAGCCACCCAGGCATCCCTGTATATTTATTTTTCTATGTGAATTTTAGTAATCAACTTCTCTAGCTCTATAAGAAGTTTGGTAGAATTTTTTTGGAGCATTGTGTTATTTATAACAACTTCAAGAGGACTGACATCTTTATGATATGGAGTTATTCTACCCAAGAACAAGGGGTAGTCTTTATATTTGTTCATGTCTACTTGTGTATCATTCAGGCACATTTTTAAAGTGTTCCTTATATAAGTTCTGCACATTTCTTATTAGGCTGATTTCTAAGCATTTCCTCTTCTTTAATGCTATTATAAACGGAGTTTATAATTATATCTTTTCTATTATATCTTTTAACTGCTTGTGTCTATGTGTATGCAAACTATTGGTTTATCTCTGTTATTTTATATTCTGCTAGCTTGCTTATCTCTTTTCTTGTTTCAGTTAATTTGAGCATTGGTTCTTTCAGGTTTTTCAGGTGTACTGTTACATCATCTGCAGTTAGTTTTACTTTCTGTTTTATGCTTCAGTTCTTATGCTTCTAACTGATTTCTCTTGTCTGATTGCATTGGTTTGTACCTCTAGTACAAAACAAGTAATAGTGTAGATAATAGGCATCCTTGTCTTGTTCTGATCTTAGTGGAAATGCCTCTAGTGATTCTTCATATAGTAGATTCTGGCTTTGGACTAAGTTTTATATATTTTATCCTGATAAAGAAGTATTCATCAGTTTCTATTTTCATGAGTGTTTTTTTTTAATAGAAATAAATGCTGGATTTTATCAAAGGTGTATTATATTATAACATTGAACCAACCTTGCATTCCTGGAGTAAATCCCCTTTGGTCCTATTGAACTATTTTTTCAACATGTTGATTCTGTTTGCTAACATTTATTTTAGGACTTTTTGCACCAGTATTGGTAAGTGATATTTGTTTAAGTACAATGTTATATTTGCTTCATAAAAATAATTTGGAAGTTTACCTTTATTTCTTATGCTTGAAGGAATTTACACGCACTAAAACTAGTATCTAGTCTTTGAAGTTTTGTACCTCCAATGAAGCTCTTTAGGCTTGCTTTTTTTGGATGGCAGGGAATTTCTTGACAGTCTTCTCTATTCCTCTGTAAAAAAAAAAAAAAATGCTCTGTTGAAGCTTTCTATCTCCAATGAGGTCATTTTATTAACCTGTATTTATCTATTTCACTATCATTTTTTTAGATTTATTTGCATTTTAATTGACTTACAAAGTAATCTCATGAATTTTTAAAATTTCTACTTTTTTAATAGTTACCTTCCCATTTAATTTCTTCATTTTATATTTGAATTTCCTCACTTTTCAATGACTGAGTTAGTGGTTTGTCTTTTTTGTCAGTTTTTCAAACTCCATAGGTCAATCACCTTCCTGTTCTTTGTCACTAATTTCTGATCTTATCTTTATTACTTCTTTTTTTGTGACTTATTTTGTTTGCCTTTTTGGAGTTTTCTCTTATCTTTTTGAATTGGGAATTAAATTCATTTGTTGTCATTTTTCCTGAGATAGTGCTTTTAGGCTGTAACTTTTTCTTTTCTTATTGCTTTAAATGTATCTCATAAGTTTTGTCATGTTGTGTTTTCATTACATGAATTAATTTTGAAAAAGGGGAAAACCTGAGAACCTCTAAGTAACATAACTGACCAAACCAAAAGAATTAACTTTAGTTCTGAGTAGGCTGCCCTATGCATTGAGCCTTCTCTTCTTAGGACTTTTGCAGAAGGCATCAGATCTGGGAACATGAGTGGTGCCTATTTTTTAACAAGATGATACATATAACTATTATCACTTAGTCAACAGTAGTTATCGGCACCTTCTCTGTGCTAGTACTGTAATTTATTTAAACAAATCATTTCAGATAATTTGAACATTATACGTGTACCAAAGACATTATTGAGGGAAGAATGAGGAGGGCAGTGAAGGTGGCAGTTGCCCTGGGTTCCTCTATCCCTTACTTCTGAGCTAATAATTATTGACCGATTTTTATATCCCTGGGTTGAACAATTTACATATATTAACTCATTTAAGCCCTATAGCAACCTGAAGAGTTGGATACCTCTAATTCTGTTTTTTTTGCTTCTTTTGTTTTGTTTTGTTTTGTTTTGTTTACAAAGAGAAAAAAATGAGGCTAAAAGGATAGGTGTCTCAGCATTGATTGCAAAGTCAGGAGTTGTCAGAGTGGAAATTTGGCACCAAGCAGTACAGACCACACCATCTGTTCTACATTTCACATAGTTCACATCTTGGGCTCCTCAGTAAGATTTTATTTGAACCAGGGCTTCCTATGCTTAAAAACATTTGGGAACCAGTGGCATAGTGGGGAGAATGCCAAGATCAGGATAAGAAGGAGTCTTTGGATTATCACTGACAGAAAACAAACTAGCTCAGGTATAAATGGGTGTCTGTTTTGTGGTTTCCAAGGAAGGGCCAATAGGCAGATGATTAGCAGAGCAGGATGTAGCTGAGCTTCAGGAGAATGTTGCAAGGCTCTCTCTGTCCAGAACTCCTGCCTGCTTCTCTATGCACATCCTCTTCCTCCTCTGTCATGGTTGTGTCTCCCCTCAAGATGGAGATCATGGCTGCCAGCCTTCCAGAGTTTTACTTCCTATCCCTGTGCCATTTCTCAGTCCCAGCTTGAAAGTTCTCAGGGAAAGGTCTATAAGCCTGGCTTGAACCCAGTGCTCACTCTGGATCAGTCAGCTGAGGCCAGGGGCGGGGTAAGCTGTAAGAACATGGTGCCCTCAAGGCAGCTGGGTGGTCCAGGGTGGAGATAGTGCAGGAAACACAGCCTCATAGTCAGAAGACCTGAGACAGGGTCCGTGGAGCCCCTCCCTATTTTTGAAGCACGTGCAATGCGTACAGTGGGCGTGGAGTAGCTACCCCTTTGAGAGCATCCCAAGGAGAGTGAAGGAGTTACAGATTGTAAACCCCCAACTACAATAGCATGTGCTAAATTGTCCAGGTCCACCCTGGGATCTAGGGGAGGGAAGGGGCTTAGGGTAGGTGTCCACGGATAAGTAGTCCTGAAAAAGAGTGTAGCCTAACAGAGACAGGAATTCCCAGGTTGGAAATGGAGTGGAAGAAGAGGCTCAGGGGCAAGAGAGTGAAGCCTGTTAAAGAAGCACAAACTAGATGGTGCTGACCATGTTTCAGGAATCATCTGGGAAAGACATGGGGGCAGCTCCCTGCAGCCATGGTTGTAGGTTAAGGGGCTGAGACTTGATCCCTTAAGCAGGGGTCCCAAACAACGGCCACTTCACTGCCTGTGTTTATTTCATTATAGTTAAGGACATAAGCTGAGTTAAAAATGGTTTTTGCAGATAGTCCTAAAACCTGTCATCATTTTATAGGTGATCATAAATTGACTGGAGTAGAAGGAGCACTAATTGAACCCCCACTAAGTGAAATCTCACCTGCACCAAAAAAGAAACCCATTCTTCTCCTTAGTAAAATTAGATTACAAAAACAACCTACTCATAATTTCACTGATAAAACAAACTTGAGGACATTTGCTCTCTCTTGTTACATACGTGCCTACACCGTAAGCCTCAATTTTGTCTCTCAGCCTACAAAGCCCACAATATTTACCTTGTGGTGCTTTGCAGAAGAGGTTTCCTGAACATTGCTCTAAGCAGCTGGAAGCCAAGAAGGGAATTTTAAGCAGATAATATAGACCACGGATCTATATTTATACTTCAGATTTAAAAAAAAAAATCATAGTGAGGACAACATTGAGAATGGCTTGGAATGGGCCAGGAATTGAGACAAGAGGCTGCAGGTTTTTCATCTGTGAAATGGAGGTAACAGCAACACCCAGACTTTCTTCCCCCGACATTGTCCCGGGGACAGAATGAGGGGAGGAAGCGAGGCTGTCTTGGAAAGCAGCAGATCCAGTGGAGTCCAGGGTGCCAGGGTGCACCAGGAGGAGGAGAGGGCAGAGCTTTCCCAGCCGAGGCACTGCCTGCCCTTGGGAAGGAGTCTCCACTGTGATTCCTCTTCCGAGGGTTCAGCCTGGCCACTCAACTCCAGGTGGGGGAGGGACCCCAGGCATGGGGCAAGCTGGCAAATGTGACCAAATGCCCAAGAAACTTGGGCAGGGGCCACTCGAACCTTCACAAAGTCCCACCATCCCCAGTGGAGCTGGGCAGGTACCACTATCGACCCACAGGCTTGGGGCCAGGCTGGCTGCTGCCCAGGGCAGCCCATACATCATTCCCAATTCTTGCAGCCCTGCAAGTCAGATGTTAGTAGCTCTGTGTTTGTTTCTTTGTTTGTTTTTTAAAGATTTTATTTATTTATTCATGAGAGACACAGAGAGAGGCAGAGGCAGAAGCAGGCTTCCTGCAGGGAGGCTGATGCAGGACTCGATCCTTGGACCCCCAGGATCATGACCTGAGCCACCTAGGTGCCCCAAGTAGTCCTGTCTTACAGGCAAGGGGCCTGAAGCGCCTGGAAACAAGTAAGTTGTCTATGGGCAGGTTCCTTTTAAGCCCACATGCTTTCCTTATTACCAACTGTTCACCAAGTATAGGATCTTAAAGCCCTGCATCAGGGTGACCTTCTGAATCTGCATCCGGGGCAGGAGTCCAGGAGCCCAAGGATCTGCATTTTAGCTTTTGGGGGAAGGTTGAGATTACTGCTCTAGGCCCCATGCCCATCCACAGGGCTTAAAATCAGGTCAGCTTCAAGAAACTGTCAGGTTTCATCACTCCCAAAGTCTGCAGTGGAAGTTAGTGCAATTTTTTTCCCTTCAGTTTGGCCTCATTAACCATCAGTCCTGAACACAATGGCTTTGACATTTTAAAGCTATCTGGTTATTTGCCAGAATGTGGGAAGAAAAGGCTGAAACTTCTATGTCTGTTGGTCGTGTGCACTGTGGTCCACACAGTCCTCGCTGCCACTCCTCTGTGCTCATCTGAGGACAGGGCTGGCTACACCATGAATGCTAGGGCACACACACAAGACCTGAAACATGCCCTTGCATATCTGCTGCTGAGCCAGACTTTCTCCATTGCCATACTTAGCACTGGACTCTGTGGAACCAGCAACAGCTTTCTAAAGCTGCTGGCTTAGTGTTTCTCTGATTTTTTTTCACAACAGCTGAATCCCCCAAGTTTTTAATTTTGGAACAGAAACCCAGTGAATACTAGCTTTTCCAGACATGCCCTCCTGTGCTGAGTGGCCCGGGCATAGTCCTGTGGGCATGAAAAACAGGAAAGCATGAGAAACCAAGCAAACCGTGGGATTAAATTACTGAAAGGAAAACCGTATTATTGATCTGTTTTTCAAAGGCATCTGCCTGCAGGAGGCAATTGGAGAAATCTGTTGGCTTCAAATGGAAATTTCCACAGCAAAAGTTCCACATGCTTTTGCAACATAGAGACCTGGTTTGATTCTAGGATGGGCATCACTGCCAACATTTTCATCCAGGTGAAAGGCTGCAAAAAAAGCCTTCCTAAAGACTGTTTCCCAGGTCAGTAGCCTCTCAGGACTCATCCTGGGCCCAGTGACAAGATGAAGTTGGGGTGGAGCCCCCCCTTCATCTGGCCTCCCTCATAAATAACCATCATAATTAGGGGTCAATCCACTGCCTGACTGCTTCACAGCTGTGAACATATGCGAACATTAAACATTTCCATAAAAGAATAACATAATTTTATGTGACCTCTCTCCAAGAAATTCATAACGATGAGATAACGAATCGGTTGAAGAGAGGTGGAGGCAGATGGTTGTTGTTCATAGATTGTAGATGAGAAAGCCATCCCTGGACAGCTCTATTTTATTCATAATTCACACACTGCCATTCCATCACGAGACCACTTAGTTTTACTTTCCCTTTAGCCTGGGTAATGTTTTCCTGGTTGTCCTGGATACCAGGAAATCCAGAGCAAGTTTGGAGTCTCCATAGAGCCGCATATTAGCCCACACTGTTTTCAAGTGTGGTCTTATTTGTTCTTGATTCGGATTTTCCTAATGGTCATTGACTAACCCACCATGGGGCTGCAGCAGATTCCCTCAAATCCTTTTTGAAAGAGAGTAAAATCATGACAACATGAATTTCACATCAAAAAAATCCTGTTCTTGGATTGAAAAGCACCCCTAAAGATGTTCTAGGCACTCCTCCCTGTTTGTAGATCGGTTGATAGAGTCTAACAGTGGGAGCTGATGGTTATAGGTCCATTTTTGACCTTCCGTGGGGAAAACATGAGCCTCTCTTGCCTGCTACAGGCCAGATGGGAATGATATCACCAGCTGCCAGGAAAAGGCCCAATGAGGGCAGCCCACATGCAGCACCCTCCACCTTTGCTGTCCCTTAGAAAACACAGATGAGTGGTGTACACAGGCTGCCCCCACGCAAGGGGGGGGATGTTCGCTGGAACATCGGAAGCTCCTCAGCTGTCAGAACACTTACTATTGGCTCATTATGTTCTCAGAGCCTTCAAAGTTCCTAAACTGTGGTCAGAGTCTGGAGAGCGCAGAACTGTGGGTCCAGACAGACTGTCCCGGCCTGACGCAGGTGATTTGTCAGAGCCTCACCAGATGCAGGACACCCAGGAGTTCACGGGCAGATGGCCAGCAATGGAGGGAAAGGCAAAATTTCCTGCCTGAATTCAGTGTGACCTTCTGCGAGTGTTCACAGTGGTGGCCAGGAATGGCTGCTGTGAGTGCCCCAGCTCAGGAAGGACGCAGGAGATACGGCCAAGCTCCACATCAGGAAGGGAATGGGCCTCAAGAAGGCAGATCAGAGGGCTTTGCTTGAAGAGGGTCTGGATCTCTTGCTCTGTCTGGCTCCAAAATGGGCAAGTTCGACTTTTATGCAAAAAACTGGCTGCCTGGACTGATAATGTGCGGGCGCAGCAGGATTCCCCACAATAGCAAGTCCTGCTGATGCCTGTGTCCTCTAAATATTTGTGTTGCAGTTGTCCTGGAGAAAGATGATGGTAGCTTGCTCCAAGACAGTGGCCAGGGGATGGAGCAAAGTCGTGGGGGAGTCGAGGGATGTCGATAAGGATGTAGAAGCCACGGCACATGGCAGCTCAGAGGTGAGGAGTGAGGGAGACAAGGATGGCATGCACACTTCCAAGGCTGGCACTCAGCAGGCACTAGGGGAGAGCTTTGCAGACGGGGCCGCTCTCAGCAGCTGTGTGAGTGGCAGTCCCTGGGCCTCCCTTTCTTCCTCATCTGCCATGTCTCTGGTCCCACCTTATCTGTCTTCCTGTCTGGGAGGCTTCCCACCCACCCGTGCAGCAGGTGGGTCTTGGAATTAGTGGGTCTCCAGGTAAGGGAGCCGCAAGGGTGCATGTGTGCAAGTGAGCGTGCGTGTGAGAGGAAGGGAGGGAGAGAGGGAAAAAAAGAGAGAGACAGAGAGAGAAGGAGAATCAGAGTATGTTCCTTCAAACACTCTCCAGGCCTTCTACCTGGGACTTTCCCCCATCACCACCACCACCTTCACCTTCCCCTGACCTGGTGCTCTTCACATGGCTGGCCAACTCCCCATCCTGCAGGCCTCAACTCACATGTCACCCCACAAAGGCCTTCAGCCTGCCCCTCCCTCCCTGCTGTGTCACTGAGGTGGACACAGGGTGGCATCTTGCAGGGGCTCTGCACACATCTGCCGCAGGAGCAAGGGCAGATGGAGGAAGATGGGGGCCTGGTGAGGACAAGGGTTGGTTCCTGGATAGGGCTCCAGAAAGCCGAGCTTCCCTGTTTCTGTGTGGAAAATGTGTCCCTGTTTCTGTAGGAAAATGCCCCCTGATGAATTGTGTTTCGGTTTGTCCTTTCAGTCCTCCCAAGGTCATCATTTAAGTAAATCACTTCTGCCTGCCTGGTAAAGATTAGTAAATGAAAGTATATTTGTGTTTTTCTAAACACTGAAAACATTTCACACTTCCATGTATTTTGGTTTCTGACCTCTTCTCTTCTTCATACCAGTTCTGAGAATTGACATGAAAACAGAGACACAACTCATGAATTTCTGGGTGATTTCTCTGCCATGGGCGTACCGTTGCAGCAGATAATGTGTAAAGAAGAGTAGTGATTTCAGATCTTGAGAATTAGAGTATTTTTTTTAATTTACCTTTCTCTGGTTTTGTTTTTCATCTCATATAAGGACAAAATACATGTAATAGCAGGACAAGCTTGGCACAGACCCTTACCAGGCTGGAAGTTGATGGAGGAAGGGAGGGCTAAGGCACCCCAATCCCATCCTGCAGAGAGGCACTTGCCATGAAAATAAATGGCCTTGAGTTGGGACAGCAGATTGTCAGAGATTCCTGCCCAAACCAGAAGCTTCACTCCTTTGTGAGTTTGGGCATTTAGCTGTTGTGGCTTTCTAAAGCCAGAGTATACTGAGTCAGCTAACCTCCATGCTGTAGCTGGCCCCCCATCCCCCCAGCCCAGAGCCACCCCTCCAACCGCACTGGGAAGGGCATGAGGTCTGGGCCACAGAGGTAGCCCAGAGCTGGGAAGACACTACCTGATGGCTCTAATCCCAACTGTTTTGTCTCCCAGGCCCCTTAGAAACCTAGCTCTCCAAGCTCAGTCATGTCAAGGAGAATTTTTTAAAATTTCACCTCAGATGTTTAAAGTTGTGTCTTAACTAACTTGGCACCCAAAAATGACTAAGAGAAGCAGCACCTAGTGAACAACACTCTTGTAGCTACTGAACCTGCCTGGATTTGGAGGGTGAAGGTGTGTAACGCTGCGCCCACAGTGAAGCTCCCATCCACAGTGATGGATCCCTGGAGCCCTATTTCTTCATATGAACAGCTTGTCCACTTGTTCGTTTTTAGCATTTTATTTATTCATTTGAGAGAAAGAGCATGTATGCAAGAAAGGAGGCGGGGGACACACGAACAGGAAGGGCAGAGGGAGAGCAGCGAGCAGACTCCTCGTTGAGCAGGGAGCCGAACATGGGGCTCGATCCCAGGACCCCAAGATGATGACCTGAGCCAAAGGCAGATGCTTAACTGAGCCACCCAGGAGCTTCCTGCTTGTCCACTTGTTTAATCATTCATTCACCTAGCAACTATTGCACATATCTGGGTGCTAGGGGATAGCCAGGGCCCTGGCAAGCAGCACAAAAGGCAAGCAACAGAAACACAGCCTTTGCAGGGGCAGCTTGCAGGCTAGTGTAGAAGTGGGTGCCCCCTTCTGTCTTTCTACAGCTGGAGGAAAGCTGCTTATTTGGCATTTAAGGAATAATAGAAACCCAAATGACTTCTCCCAAGCCCTGCAGATAAAATCAAAGAGAATAACAGCAATGCCTTGACTCCCCAGAATTCATCTGGATTCTGGAAACTTCGGGGTGTCTTGTTCACTTAAGGAAAAATGAGAAACACCCTGTAGAGGCTGATTTCAAATAGGACTGCACAGGCCTTGGAAGAATCTGGAGAGTGCAAAACCAGTTTTGACTTACAGCATAGAATGTTCTACAACCAGGGCTTGGGAGTTCTCTACTTAGTTCAGAGAAGGGTTTACAATGCTGGCCTCCCAGGGGGTTCCATTAACACTTATCGACTTTGCCTCTGTCAATGTCTGTATTTTTAACAAAAGAAATCGAAATACCTATTTCACGCAGAAGTGCTTAAGCGAATTTAGCTAAGAGGAGCAGAACATTGAAAAACTCAATTTATGTTTCTCCGATACATACGCAGCTCTGTAAACATTTTCTAGTAAGGGTCAGTAAGGGGTTATTTCACTCTTTTCAAAAGGTGGCTGTTGAAGACTATTCCAACTAACGGGTAAATGATTCTTTCCTGATGTGCCCCGTATGGCATCCCTGGGTGCTGCATCATAAAGGAGGTTAGGCAGGGGCTGAGGACCCGTTTCCCTCTTAGTTGGCTTTCTTTTACAACTCTTCTCGCTTCAGCTACAATTTGGGGCAAATCTCAATGAGGATAAGTAGCCTTTAAAAAAATCTATTAATGCCAGGAAGAGAAGAGTCTTGACTGCCAAGGTCTAGGGAGTAGGGATGGGGATGGGCAGGGCTCACCTCTTTTGGGCTTGAGTTTTGATTATGGCCCTCTCTCCTACCTCCATCTCTCTACAAACATTTTCTCCGGGGAAAAGGATCGGCACACAGGGTCTGGGATGAAGGTAGTTAGTAAAACTAGTGAGAATTTGTAGAGGCACTGTCAATCGCCATGTCCGTGTTCCCAGGAATCCATGAATATTTAGCTGCCAGTATATCTTTCCTGAGAGAATGAGGGGCCAGGGAGAAGCTTCAGTAACCAAAGGGGTAGGATGGAAATTCCTCCTGAGTTTTGGATTTAGGAGGCCATCTGTTAAGGCAGGGTAACCTGAGACCTCAAAACATCTCAAATAATTGTTAAAATGTCAGTAAAATTCTAGTGTCACAATGAATGAATTAGCACAAAGGCATGTTGGCATGAGCTCATCTCAAAACGAGCTGCATCGGAGGTGCTCATAAATATGTACACAGAGGAGTCAGGTGCGTTTAAAATTAGACCTGATCTTTTATACTGAGTTAAGGTCTTTCTGGCCATGCAGGAGAAAATGAAGTCTTGTTAGCCCTGGACAGAGGCCTCTCACTGCCAGGCATGGGTGAGGGGAAAGCCTGCTGGCTTCCTGCTTGCAGTTCCTTCCTAAGCAACTCCTCTCCCGGGCCCTGTGCCCTGCGGGGAGACACCCCCAAGCTGCCATCAGCTGGGAGACATGCAGGAGAGGAGGGTTGAAAGAGTTTACGTTAAGTGTCGTGGGTATCAGAAACCCGTCCCCAAAAGCAATAGAGAACTCTCTCAGGGTCCTGCATTTCCCAAGTTCACAGCAGTTTATCTGTGGATTAAAGCAGTTCTGGCTCAAACCCATGGAATGAGCAGCACGTTGCCCAGGCCAGGCCTGGCCAGGGCCCCAGTGCAGATTCAGAAAGGCTGGGACTTGTTGGATGGAGGGGCTGGGGTTTTGGAGATATTGGATTATAAGCTAAATGGAATAAGAGAACAAGTGCACTACTTCCTGGTGTTATATATAATTCAGCAGAGTGAAGATCTGTTCTTTTAAAAAAGAACCGTGTCACATCTCCATCTAATAATGCTTCTTTCCTCCAGAAGACAGCCACATTCTCAGATTCCAGAACCACATTCTCAAGTCCTCAGACTGAACTAAACATTCAGAAGGTTTTGATATTTTCCATATCTTAGACAAAGGATTTTGGCTGCCTGCATTTTAATTCTCTCAAAGACCTAAAAATGTTGGCAGATTAGAACAAATAAACAGTCTTCAGTACAAAGTCCCCAAACCCTCACACTTTTTTTGACTCAAGCTGTTACCATGTAGAAAAACCAATTCAATATTTTAAAAATATAAAGTATTTCAGATATGCAGAAAAGTAGGAAGAATGTAACACTTTTGAGCTCATTATTCAATATAAGCATTTCCTACCCTACCTCCAGATGACTACTATCCTAAATTTGATATCATTCTCAAGCTGTCTTAATTATCTTACAATGGCTTTGTTTTTACATGCTTCTTAAACCTCGTGTAAATTATATATAAAATATATATTATAACAATATGTAATATTTAATAATATAAAATGCAGCCATCTGCAATTTGCTTTTTTTTCCTCTCTAGAATCACGAGATTCGTCTATGTGGCTACATATACGCACATCAAAAATCTGTATGATACTGTACATATACAATACACATTTATCACAATTTACCTATCCATTACTGAATAGTGACAAATTGTTTTAAGAAGGGGTTGTACCGGGATCCCTGGGTGGCGCAGCGGTTTAGCGCCTGCCTTTGGCCCAGGGCGCGATCCTGGAGACCCGGGATCGAATCCCATGTTAGGCTCCCGGTGCATGGAGCCTGCCTCTCCCTCTGCCCGTGTCTCTGCCTCTCTCTCTCTCTCTCTCTCTATCATAAATAAATAAAATTTTTTTTAAAAAAGTGGTTGTACCAATTTCAATACCCACTATCAATATGTAAGAGTTCTTTTCTTTTTTAAAAGATTTTATTTATTTATTCATGAGAGACACAGAGGGAGAGAGAGAGACAGAGACACAGGCAGAGGGAGAAGCAGGCTCCATGCAGGGAGCCCAACGTGGGACTCGATCCCGGGTATCCAGGATCACACCCTGGGCTGAAGGTGGCGCTAAACCACTGAGCCACCTGGACTGCCCAGTATGTAAGAGTTCTTGCTCAATACCTTTGACAAAGCTTGGTATTATTATCAGACTATTTTTGCAATTTAATAGGCGAAGGAACAACCTCATTGAAGTTTCAGTTTGCATTTCTGATTACTAGTGGGCTTAGGTGTGTTTATTAGCCACTTAATTTTCAACTTCCTTGAATAATTTGTTTATATTATTTGATTATTTTCTATTGGTGGGTTGTTATTCTCATTATCTTATACGCGTTCTCTATGCATTGTTAATACTAACCCTTTCTCAGTATTGTGCGAATATTTTCCCTCATTGTACTTTGTACTTTCCCTCTTTGTACTTTGCTTAAGATGAATTTTGGTACGTAGATGTTTTGAATTTTAATACAGTTAAATTTTATCAGTCTTTTACTTTTGGTTTGTCTGGATATTGTCTAAGAAATACTTCCCTCCCTCAAGATGAAAAAGATAGACCTCCAATATTTTCATCTAAAAGTTCCATTTATTGGGATCCCTGGGTGGCGCAGCGGTTTGGCGCCTGCCTTTGGCCCAGGGCGCGATCTGGAGACTCCGGATCGAATCCCACATCGGGCTCCCGGTGCATGGAGCCTGCTTCTCCCTCTGCCTGTGTCTCTGCCTCTCTCTCTCTCTCTCTCTCTCTCTCTCTCTCTCTCTGTGTGTGTGACTATCATAAAATAAATAAAAATTAAAAAAAAAATTTAAAAAAAAAAAATAAAAGTTCCATTTATTGACTAGTTCAGCTCCTCCCCCTAGACCTTTCAAGGCACTCCTGCCATCTGTCAAGTGTTCGACTCTCTGCCATGTTCTATTGGTCTATTGTCGGTCTCTGGATGAAAACCATTCTTGGGTTTGGCCATTTGGGGGCACAACTTTCTTTATCCTTTCCTTGAGTTTGCCCTAGCCTGGTACAAGCAACCAAATGGCAGCTCCATAAGCAGAAGGGAGAAATCAAGGCAAAGCTAGCCCTGGATATACATAAGCTGAATATTTAACTCCTAAATCAATTAATTCCTAAGAAATTACTGTATAGTAATGAATATAGAAAACCCATATAAGATAAAGCATTTTTAACAAAAGAAAAAAACAAAACCATTAAAACACTTTTCTGAGCTATAATAAGATTCATTTAAAAATGGAAAGTAGAGATCTCCAGTCAATACCAATGTTCTTGCCTTTATTTTCTAAAAATACCACTTTAAACACAGTTTGCATACAGCTAGTCATAGGGAGTTGTTTCCTGGATCCCTCAGAGCGTCCAAACTGAAGGTCAGACTGTCCGTGAGAAACCCTGAGAATGCACCAGTCCCGTCAAGCATGGGTCTGTGAATGAAGTATTCTTTATTGAGAATGATACTTGATGAAATGCTCGCAGAGACATTTTGACAATCTCATGATCACTACCTGGTGTTCTGCAGTGTCTTCAGATTCAGACTCTCTTATACGGACCACAGGACAAGAGGACTCTGGCCACCCAGCAGACCATGGACGTCCTGGCCAAGTGAGTTGGCTTCCCCTCCCACCGTTTCCTTTGCCATTCAGATCTCAAAGGAAGCTGGTTCTGTGAGACTGTGTGGAACTTTCTGTGGAAAGTTTTACTAAGTGACTTCCCTGTAACTCATGAACTACGCAGGACCAGTGGTTTCTTTGAAAACCCAGCCGCGAAATATCTCCCTTGCCCCGATGCTAGGGAGCGATTAGCTTCCCCCCTGGGATCCTCCCCCCGGCGACCGGCACCTGCAGGTCATCTCCCCTGCTGGAAGGCCCCGGCGCGGCGCAGTGCTTTAGCGGGCCCGCCTGTGGCTTCCCTTCCTCCCGGGGTGCCCGGCCGGAGGCGGGGTGCCTGAGAGCCCCCTGACTTCACCTTGAAGGCCGCCGCAGGTCTTTCTCAGCCAGTAGGCTCACTCTGCTGTGGAGACGCCGCCCCTCGCCGAGCCTGCGGCCCGGCCCGGAGCCCTGCGCTGGCCGCCAGGGAGGATCCCGGGAGGCCCGAAGGCGAGGGGACAGCCAGCAGGGGGCGCTGCCTCAGAGCCGCCCGCCCGCCCGCGCCCGCCCGCGCCCGCCCGCGCCCGCCAAGCTTCTTCGGCTGATGCGGCTCCGTGAGAGCGCGCCCAAGGAATTGGCATTTTCTGTTCCTGTGCCAGGGTTCTGTCCTCACTGGAGTAGCTCAGCCACTGCTGGCTTCCCTTCACAGCGGCAAGAGCTGGAGGGTACCCGTGTGCAGGTCCGAGGGGCAGCACGCTCACCCCCCTCCTCCTTTGCAGGGCCCCGGAGGTGGCCGTGAAACCCAGGCAGACCCCCAGAGCCGAAGCGGCGTTCTGCAGCAGCGTGGCCCAGCACGGTGCGCCGGGGAAGGCCAGGCCCAGCGCAGCGGACTGAGGCCCCCACCCCAGAGAAGGCTTCAGTCGTGCCTGGGAGCCGACGGCTAGGGTGCCGCGTAAACCTCTCCCACAGGGCGATGGGATTCAATACTGTCCAGGCTGTTTGCTGCGGCAGGCAACGGAGCTACGCTGCGAACTCCCTGTGGGCCACACTGGGACCTCGGATACCCTTCGGGCCATCTGGTGCTTCTATAAAGCCTTTTTTCTTTTTTACCGCCCAAGTGAATTTTTCTTGCCAACAAAAATTTTTACCCATCAGTACTACCGGGGGCTAAAAAAGGCTTCTCTTCAGAAGTTTGAAACTTGCTGTGTGGGAATACCATGTACGGTATCTATACATACAGAGCCTCTTGTGTAGACCTGGAGTCAGATTAGAAACAATACAGTTCTGACAGGGAAAAGCCCCTTTTATAAGAAGATAATAGGGATTGAGGATAAAATGATAATAAGAAGAATCTTGGAAGTACTGGGGTTGTTACGTGTTTTTAAAAGGAGCCTGCCTCAGAGTTCCTCGGAGCCCAGAGAGGAGCATGAGGAAGCTTTCCTTTACTCATGCAAAAGGCCTTGACCGAAAGTGGCTGAGCACCCAGTGTGCACCAGGCAAGTGGTGAGAGCTGGGGACACAAGAGTAACCAAGACATGCTGTCCCCATCCCCTCAGAGCTTGCCACCCAACATGGACACTACCTACTGCACATAAGGGTGAAATGAGTCGGTAACGGAGGGAAAGAGCCCAGTTCAGCGAGGCAGGGAGGGAATGGTGGTAAACGGGCTAGAGGGCAGGGGAGGCAGTGAAAAGAGACGAGGCAGCCAGCCTGGAGAGGCTGCAGGGGAGGGCTGCTGACTTGTGGCCTCCACTCCAGGCAGGAGAAACATGGCTGCCCTCTGGAGCTTCCTTTTTGAGCTGGTATGGCTCAGCTGGGCTCAGCATGTGAGGGAGGGGTGGGTGGAGCAGGACGAGCGCTTGTGTCCACAGTGGCCTTCCGTCTCCAGGGAGGTCATTGCCGCTAGAGAATGGAAAAGCAGAGTGGGAAGTTTTGAGCACCTTTCTTCATGCAGTCAACCATGAGAGCCGGTACTGGAAAGAGGTGTAGAGTACACACAGTGCGCAGTGCTGTTCCTTCTCCTTCCCACCGTCATCCCATGGACCATGATCCAGCAAGGCTGCAAGCTGGTGCTATGATGGCGACAGGATGCAGCACACAGGCCCCCTTCTACTCCAGTACCCAATGGGAAACCCAGAGCCACTCTGGTTCCATTTGTGCAGGATCCCACCTCAAGAATGAAGGGTGTTAATAAACCAAAAAGGCCTGTGACAGGGTGGAGAGAGAGGCAGGGTCCCTTGTCCCCTTTGGAAGTTGTGACAACTGGCCACACAAGCCATTCCCACTCCTTCCCACTTATCCCAGATAGGCCTGTGGGATGAAGGCAGGAGACATGGTCACTACTCACCAAGTGTCCCATCTGATTGAAGACATGGGTTTCAATGTGGATGGTGGAGTAAGCATTTTATTATTTTTTTAATGTGTGCCTCCAAAATTCATGACGAAGCCCTAATCCTCAGTGTGAAAGTATTAGGAGGTGGGGCCTCTGGTAGGTGATGGGATACATGGGAGTAGAGTTCCATGAATGGAAGTAGTGCCCTGATCAGAAGAGACACGAGACAGATGACTGCGTTCTCCACCGCGTGAAGATATGGCAAGATGGCTATCTGCGAACCAGACAGCTCCAACCGGGCACTGAGGCCCCCAGCACCTTGATCTTCCACTTCCGGCCTCCAGAACGCAGAGGGAGAGAGGTGTCCACTGTGTGAGCCTCCCACTCTGTGAGTCTGTGCTGTGCTGTTGCATCAGCCTGAGCAGACAGTCCATGCTGGGCTTTTTTGGAAAAAAGTGGATTCTGATGTGACTTCCTCTATACCTCTTGGAGGATAAGATGTTGCAATTGCAGAAACTAAAACATATTTTTAAAAAACTTAGCCCAGGCTGAGTGAAATAAGTCAATTGGAGAAGGACAAACCTTATATGGTCTCATTCATTTGGGGAATATAAAAAATAGTGAAAGGGAATAAAGGGGAAAGGAGAAAAAATGAGTGGGAAATATCAGAAAGGGAGACAGAACATGAAAGACTCCTAACTCTGCGAAACGAACTAGGGGTGGTGGAAGGGGAGGTGGGCAGGGGGTGGGGGTGACTGGGTGGCGGGCACTGAAGTGGGCACTTGACGGGATGAGCACTGGGTGTTACTCTGTATGTTGACAAATTGAACACCAATAAAAAATAAATTTATTAAAAAAGAAAAAAAAAAGCCCAGGAAAGAATGGATTTCGGCACGTCCTGCCCCAGTGTCTCCCATCTATTAAATGTGTTAACTTCAGCAAGAGAAGCAGACTATAGATCCTCATGGTCTTTGTGGTAAAAAGCTATGCACTGGTCAGGGTATCTAATAACTGTGCCTAAGTCTCAAAACAACTACAAGTCTTTCAAGCGCCTAAGAAATGGCCACGATTAACCAACTCCTTCAATTTGCACCTATGCGACCCAACCATTTTGGTGTGCCCAGGACTGTCCTGGGTCTAGCACTGAAAGTCCTATGTCCCGGGAGACACCTCCATCCCAGGCAATGGGATGGCTGGTCACCCTGCGGGCACGAGCCTTCCAGGCTGTGATGACCACATTCTTACCACAAACTGTCCAGTCTACATTTGAACACAAGCAGCTGAGTTTTGCTCTGTCTGCCATGCTTTCTGGTTCTGTGTTAACATCAAGTTCTGATTCGGGTAGGGAACTGGAACTTCTCATGCATGTTCTCCCCCCAGTGATTCTCTGCCACCATTAAAAAAAAAAAAATTTTTTTTAAACAATGCTGTAAACACAGGTTTTAATTAGAGTTTAAATAGAAACTACAAAAACACCTACAGGAAAACATTCTCTCTAGGAACAATTTGGAGGGTTTTTTTCCTTAGATTTTTATTTTTATACATTCTTGTGACATTTCCCTCTGTAGGGAACAGGAGCTTAGATCAGCTTCTTAGATGATTCCATCCTAAATATACATTTGAAACAATACTGAAACCACCAGTGGGAGGGTGAAAAACGTTCTATTAATACTGTTTTGTCTCCACAATGGTAAATACTGGTTCTGTCCACCCCACCCCACCCCACCCCACCGCAAGTTGATTTCTAGTGTCTCCAGAGTGACTGGTTTTAAAGGACTCGGAGCTGTAGGGTGACCAGCACTGGGTGGAGGACATGCCCTGCTCCTAGGTGATCCAGAGACCAAGTAACCAAACACAGCTCAGGAGTCCACCTTGGTGAATACCCTTGGCAGGCTACTTCTTGAAGATTCGTGATCTAACATGGAAATATGAATTAAGACCTAAGATAGATTTATTTTTCCAAATAGAGGTGGGTCATGATATTAATAACCTCTCCACATCAACACTCATTTACCAGATCACAAGGCAGGAGAGGGACATTAAACTAAGGCCACTCGGACTCACTCACATCATAGACTCCCCCATCATCAGTCTGTCTTACCGTCAGAATGGCAAGCTGTCACCCTGACCAATAAATCACTTACACAAATACCATCACCCATTATGGCTAACATAAAATCAGCCCATCCTTGACTGTATTACAAATGAAAAGTCTTTGCTTGCAAAGCTGTCACCTCTGTACCAGTTTGTGACAATCGCTAGTTCATCTGGCAGATGACAAAGGTTTATTAAACTTGCAAGTCAACTTTCTCTATACTCTGATTCACAGTGTTTATTAGATCATCCTGAAAGCTTTGCTGCATTTCTCCTCCGCTTAGTTAAGAAAATGCGCGCTCCTAAACTATCTGCTGTAGCCATTTCTGGGGGCTGAGGAGACAGGGAGGTCTCGAGAGGATCCGAGAGCCACTGTGTGACCGCCTCCCACCCAGGGGGAAGACCCTTGTGCCATAACCACCACCCCATCACCATACCCCACCTGAGGCTGATGTCACCTCAAATCCTTATTCCTCAGCTCACTACCGGCAGTTCTAGGATTGATTCTGTGCTAGAAGTACAGTTTCAACATGTGCAAGAAACTAGCTTGGATTACAATAATACTGTGCTAATACTAGAGATAATACTTTTGTGTGAGACTATCCCTTTAAAGATGGAAGCCTTAAAAGCAATGCCCTATGTAAAATGAAACAAACCCAGTAAAGCACCCTTTACTCTAATATCGTGAACTCGATGGTACGTATTTGCAGGTCAGCATCCTGTGGCCTGTGAAGGTAGGGCCCTTGCCTTCCACTAGGGCCCTTGCCTTCCGCTAGGGCCCTTCCTGGGTGCTTCAAGTGCTGGGCAGCAGTAGGGGCACCCAGCTTCCCCCAAAACATCATCTTCTATTCTATATTAGTATTCACTTGCCTGAACAAAGCACCCCAACTATAATGATTTCTGTTGAAAAGGCAAAAACTTCCTTGAGGTTGGCAGTGGTTTTTCATCACTAAGTCTTTGAGCTCAGGAAGACCTTGGCCCCTTTCAAGGTGGGTTGAAAGGGCCTCTTTGGGAGGCGCCGTCCACCCTGCACCCGACCATCTGGCAATCCAAGTTCTCCTCTGAGCATCAACGATCTCTTTATGGTCTTCGGGGTCTGCCTTCCACCAGGAAAACTAAATGTTTAGGTGCTAAGGGCTAGAATGCTGAGAAGCTCAAGAATATTCTGATAGGAGCTGGAGACTCCAGAACTTTGGGTGTAACAAAAAAGAACTATTTAGACTGTGTGCTACTTAACCACCTAATGCTGCAAAAAAAAGTACTCTAAGCTACTCCCAAGAGTCATTTCCCCTACACACAGGGCACAGTGCAGGGTCCTAGGGACCTGTGCAAACATAGCAAATGTGTGGACTTGAAATACCACAACAGGCTGAGGCCGTCCTCTGCATAAATAAAACACTATATATTTTTTTAAAGCTCTACGCATAGAAAGCAATTCATTTGGGTCTTAAAGTGAATTTAACTTTCTCCTAAAGATAAAAATCATTTAGAATTTATTTTTATAATAGAAGAAGCAATCTGCTTCCTTCCGAGGATTTCTTTTTGAGAAGACTTAGAAGAGAAAAAATGTATGCATTTTTCCTTTTAAAGGTTATTTGTTATTTCGTATTCGCACATGCAAGTAAGATGGACTCGTAAATATATTTTGATCTTGTTACCATAAAGACCTCTTACCTACAGATAGTTAATTGTGATTTCAGACAGATGCGAGGCATTTCTGTGACCAGGAGCAAAACTGGTAGAAATTGTCTCTAGGAGTGGAGAGACTCTGGTCCAGGAGAAGGAACTTTTAAGACTGAAGCGATAAAAACTAATTTTGTTCCAAGTTCCGCCTCAAAAATGAAACTCCCAACGCCTTCAATGGCGTGAGTTGATTTGCAAACTTTGCAGATTATTAAGTAAATTGACAGAGCCCAGAGCGCCCTTTGGAGAAACAGAAGGAGCCTTAATACATGAGTGAGCCCTGCTCCTTCAAATTAGTAAAGGCCTTTGTGTGCTGCCCCGTTACCAGGTAAGTAACCTCGGGAAAACAACATACGTCTCAAAACCAGTGTCCCTCACTCTCCTCCTCCTGGTTGTCTAGATAGAGGAGGGCGACTTTCTTTTCATCCGAAATCACCGACCTTTGGTCTACCATCCTCTGGAGCTGCACCGTCTTGTCAAACTCAGCCTGCTCCTTGGCCTGGTCTCCGGGGACCTGGCGTGCGTCCCCGGCAGAGCCCTGGAAACTCACGCTGGCCACCCAGGCGCTTGCCCCACCCACGTCCCTCCAGGCACCGGGGTCAGGGGCGCCCTGCACTGCTGCTTCTGTCCCCCCTGGGAAGAAGACTGAGGTCTCTTGCGTCCAGCGGGGAGTCGCCTCTGTGTCGCTCACATCCACCTGAAAGGTAAACGGAGAGGAGCCTTTGGGTCTCAGTGCAACATGCCTTAGTGCACTGCTGCCGTCTGCTAAGTCAGCCTGGTTCAGGGAAGCCCGCCGAACCGGCAGGTGCCAGTGATCCAGGAACGGGACACGGAGGACAACTTGTTCAGAGGGTCGGGTTCCTGCGGGGCCCAGCCCAGGGTGCCTGTTCATGCCCAGCGTCTCTCCTGCCCACACGGGCCTCCTGAGGCCACTGGACACTCCAGTCACCAGCATCTGCCTGCCCACAGCGTACCTGCGAGGAGCCTGGCTCACGCCTGCTGAGCCCTCTCTGCGGGCACTGCCTCCCGAGTCCCTTCATTCTCTCCGGCCAGAGGCTTGATACCTCGGAGACCCGCCTTTGACCCGCCTGATGGATCTGCTGTTCCCTGACCCCTCTTCGGGAGGCACAGAAGCTTCTCAGAAGCCCCACTGCCTTCGGTCTAGAAGCGGGGCTGTGCCCCGATGTGCTCACTGAACCCCTCTCTGGGGTCAACCTGAAGTTGCTTTACAAAAGGCTGGGTCCCCACTGACTCTTCGGTTTGAGAATAATCACCACCTGTGCCCGCCCAGAAATGGGGCTCTGAAAAACAATATCCCTTTCAGCACGAGACTGGAGGCAAACCCTGTGCTTCTCTGAGGTGTGGGTGTGTGTGTGTGGAAAGCTCTATGGGGTCAGCCTCTCCTGGGCCCCCCACCTCCTGAAAGGCAGGGATAGACCCTTGGAAGACGACTTCTTTGGACACTCGTCTTTGATCAGGAACCAGGGTGGGGTGCCTTCCAGACCAGGTGGCCCCGGCCAAGCCGGCTGCCTGACGTCAGTCACCTTCCCCACTCACCTCCACAACCTGCGCAGTGGGTCCTTCTCGAGAGACTTGCTCCGTCCTCCAGACTCCGGCGGGGCCTACCATGACTCGCCTGACAGAGCGGCTGACATCCTCTAGCACGTGTGACTGGCCAAAGCCCCTCGGGCTGGTGACCTCCACGGTGGCTGACACGGGGCCCTGGGGCGCGGCGGCCTCGGTGCTGGGAGAGGCCAGGCCGGCCCGGTCCTCCTCCCCGTAGGGACGGTACAGTTCCTGGGTGGCCCAGCGCTTGAAGCCAAGGCCGGCGGCAGGAACCTCGGCCGCACTCTCCCTGTCCGGGCTTCCAGGCGGCCTGGCCAAGCTGTCCCGTACCACTGACTCCACAGCCTTCTCAATTTCCCCAGCTTCATCTCTGCTCAGCTCCTCCAGGTCTAGCTGATTGGCGTCCACGGTTTTCGAGAGGTTGACTTGCGCAACCAAGGTCACGGACCTACCACCAGCGGTGTGGACTTTCTTTACATCGATGGAGACGTTCTCCGGGCTGCCCTGACTGTCTCTGGTGAGGGCAGACAGCTCCTCCTTCATGCGCTCCGGAAGGCTTTCTTCCAGCTGCCCGATCACCTCTACCAGCTGGCGTCTGGGTTCCTTGGTGGCCCCCTGGATGGACGTGTGGAACTCAGGTGGTATCTGGATCTCCTTCTCAATGATGGTGGGTTCGGCATGAAATTCACCACTTCTAACCTGTTCCGTCCAGTGAATAAAGCCCACGTCCTCCCCATGAGGGGGTTCAAAGACATCCGCTGGCTTCACAACTGCCTCCCCCGACACAGCATCCTTCTGGATCCTTCTCCGAGTCCCTGGCACAATCTCGTCTTGCCAAGAGTACCTGATGGTGGATTCCTCTTCGATGTGGATCTGCCCATACACGGAGCCCTCATCCCTGTCCTGTGCCCCAGGGTGCTCATCTGGTGTTGACACAAAATAACTCTGTTCTCCTCCCTCCGAGTCACTGGCCTCCATGACTTCTTCAACTCGGGTTTCGTTCTCATGGGGCCGCTTGGTCTTCTTATGCTGACGACCAGAGACCATGACATCCACTTCTCCATAACTCTCTTCTTCCTCAACGAGCCCCTTGGAGGCGGGAGACACGTCGTCCACCTCCTCCACTTCGAATGGGGTAGAAAACTCTGCCTTCTCAGCACTGACATAGCTCATGGGTTCCTCAATGATCTCCACGTTGACCACCTTGGCCCTCCCCTCTCTTCCCTTCAGCCCCAGGTTGATTATGTCTCCTAGCATCCGCTCGGCCGACTTCCCTTTCACGTCCACCTCCTTCACATTCTTGCTCAGAAGGTAGTCCAGGCCAGCTTCGTCTGAAACGTCCACCTCCTCCGTCAGCCTCGACTCCACGACGATCTCGGTCTTAGTTTTCCTGTCCCCGGGGAGCTCTTTCCTGTCCATGTACGTGACCTTCGTGTCTGGAAAAGAAGTGGCAGATGCCTCTGTATCTGGAGACTGGGTAAACTGCTTCAGGATACTGGACACAATGTTTTCAGCCACGGTTTCAGTGGTGGACTCGCCTTTCAGGGAGCTGGTGGGGACACCGGGGCCCAGCCTGGAGCCGGCCTCCCGGGTCCCCACACCGTCACATGCGTCCTCCTGCAGCAGCGTCTGCAAAGTTCTCCGGGCTGCCTGTGGTGAGCTATCCCGGGAGACTTCTAGACTGATCGGCACCTCTCTTTCTCTTGCACTCTTTTCCTTCACTGGCTCCTTCCCTCTCTCCTTATCTCTCAGTTGCTGGCTCTCTCTCGTTCTTGCTTCTTTATCTAACTTTGTCAGCTCTTCCCACCGTAGGTTTCTCTCCTCTGAAGCCCTCTCCTTGGAATCGAACATTTTCTCTTCTCGCTTCATCTGGACAGCTCCTGGCCTGTTTCTGTCTTGCTCCCTCGTGGCGTTAGCTTCTGTCTTCTGTCCCACAATGACGGTCCTCTCGCTTGACCAGGTGCTTCTGGAAGCACCTGCTGACACGTCATCCCGGCATTCTCGGGAGGACTTTGGGGCTATGGCAGGCTCTTTGGCTTCAGGAGTGGAGGCATCTTTCGTACCTGCAGTCCTGGGCCTATCGAGGAATGTTTTCACGGGAGCTTCTGTATCTCTTAAAAGACCATGCGTGGGAGAGAAAGTTCTGAAGCTGGTGTGACCCTTGGCAGTTTTCTCATGAGAGTTGGTAGCTTTTTCGTAAGTTGTTTCCTGCCGGCTGGTGGTACGGGAAGAATATTCTGAGCCTAGGAAGCCTCTTCCGGCAGCACTTCCCACGGTGGACTGTGGCACCAGGTGAGAGCGCCGCACTGGGCTGTGGCTAAAGCTGGCCGCCAGGGCTTTCTGCCTTGCAAACAGATTCCTTTCATTTTCCTTCTGTAACATCGTGTTGGTGTATCCATAGGGCGTGCTCCTGAGCTCTGCAGAAAATGACAGTCATCGTTACCTTCTTTCATCTTATTTTTTTATTTTTATTTTATTTTTACCTTCTTTCATCTTAAAAGCATCATCAAAGGTCAAATCCTATCACCTCGTCATAAAGACACAAGATTACGGCAGAAAGGGCCTTATAAATGAGAGATTTTCAATCCCCAAATCATATCTTTTGGTTTTTTTTTTAATGCTGCCACAATAAAATAGAGCACTATGCTTGCTTTGAAACCACCCTTTTCTCAAGTTACTGATCTCAAAACGTCATGAATCTTAACAGATGTTATCAAGTGTGTGATCGTAGAGCAGGGCACATGCATCAGAGAGGTTGGGGCGCCTGTTTTCATGGCTGAAATTTCACAAGGTCTTGATGATCTGGAAACATTTATTTCCACTTTGTTGATCTAAGTTTCTTTGACTTATTTCAATGGAGAAGAGCTTTATAATTACAAAGTCCAGGATTACTTAACAGTAACTGGCCTGTCCCTCCACTATTTCATATGTTCTTATTTCCCATTGGTTTCCATTGTTGAGCCAACGAGTCCTGCAGAATTTTAACTTTTTCTAAGGCTCCCTGACTTCTTCTATTTTTACACTGCTATTTTTACAAACTTCTCATTGGAAAATGAGCCAGAGCAGGAAGCTGACCAGTCACCAACACTATGGTCTGTTTTAATGCCATGATCCTGGGAGGCAGGCCACTGGGCTTCCTGCTTGGCTCCATATCATCCACAGAGGCTGCTACCCTTGGAGGTATCCAAACTCCACAAAGGTACCTGCTCTTACGAATGGCAGCTGGGGGTTAGAAGGTTGTCAGGCACACCTTCCACCCTGAGAGTGTCCTCTCATGCCTACCACACCCCATCTGGCCAAGTCCTGTAAAGCCTATTCCCCTAGCTGGGTCTCCCTGTCATTGCAGCCAAAGCCAGGGGTCCCTTTAGGATGGATCCCAGGACAGGAGAAACACCAAGCCAGGACATTTTCCATGAAGATTCCTCTTCTCAGATCAACATACTAAACCTAAACAGAGAAGCCTCAGGAGATGAGCCCCCCCACCCCCAACCTGGGAATGTGTAGGAACCATCTGGTTTTTAATTCAGGTTCACCAAGAAATACGGAAGACGGCAGACTGGTTTCAGGCTATATCATCTTGCAGGCAAGTGGCCAGCATTATTCTGGACAGTATTACAAAAGAAACATAAGGGTATTCACAAGCATTAATAAATTCATTATCTAGGAACACATCTGTACATTTATTCAGTGAACAGTTAACGGGCATGTATAGGGCATAGGACACAGAACTATCTGGAAGCTCAAAGCCTAATAAAAGAGTTCATAACTGGTCCTCCTTTTTTTTTTTTTCAGTCCTCTTTACTCTAATGCTACTTGCTTGGGCATAATCCATAACTACTAAGCTAAATTTAACTTTAGCTTTCTGTAAGGTTTCTGTATCCTTTAAGAAGCTTGACAAAACAGTTAATGAATAAAACAAGTTAACAGAGGCACCCAATCACCCTCTTACTGGGCTCTCTCTGGGCTCCACGATCACAGCTGGTCAAAGATCTGAAAGACAGGGCACCTGGGTGGCTCAGTGATTGAGCACCTACCTTGGCTCAGGCTGTGATCCTGGGGCCCTGGGATAAAGTCCTGCATCGGGCTCCCCACAGGGACCCTGCTTCTCCCTCTGCCTATGTCTCTGTCTCCCTCTGTGTCTCTCATGCATAAATAAAATCTTAAAAAAAGAAAAAAAAAGATTCGCAAGTCTTGACCTCAACCATTGGTTCTCCTCTAAGTCTCCAAGTCTGGCCACAGCTCTTTCCTCCTCTCTCCCCGGAAGTGACGCTATGGACTTGCAGATTCCTGTACCCTCCCCTAAAATATGTCACTAAGTAAACCTTGAAATCAGGTGAATGATATCAAGGCTTTTTTCAACGTTACCCTCCAAATCAGAAAGCAAACTTGCTGGATACTGTCAACGACCAAATCCACACTAGTCACAGATACCAGACACCGGGAACCAAACCTATTGTTCTGAACCCAGTGAAGTTTCAAAGCTGTCAAGTGCTGAATAGAGATGCTGATTTTGAAAAATAAAGGTGGACAGTATTGGTTTTAAAAAAAAATCTGCCATCTATCTATCCAGACTGGCTGTTAACCAAATATCCTCCTGATAGAAGAATCACATACATGCATTCCCCATGTGCCATGACTTTGAATACAGTAACACTCCCGGGAGACTGAAACTCTGATAAGGAAGGCATACACTGAGCATATACTACAAGTAATTCCCTCTGCCTTTCTTTACCCAGAAAGTGCTTTAAGTACTATGGGGCTTTAGAAGTTTTCTTTCTCTCTTTCTTTCTCTCTCTCTCTCTCTCCCTCGTTATCCTACAGGTTCTTAGATCTTTTTTGTTTTTAAGATTTTATTTATTCAAGAGAGACACAGAGAGAGAGACAGAGGGAGAAGCAGGCTCCCCGTGGGAAGCCTGAGGCGGGACTCAATCCCAAGACCCCGGGATCACAACCCGAGTCAAAGGCAGATGCTCAACCACTGAGCCACCCAGGGCCCCATTAGTGTCTTTCTAAAGAACGCTAATTTGTCAGTTCTGCAGCTACAGGGATGTGAGCTTTATTCTCTAGCTTTGGGCCTCAATCAAGACAGACCTCAGGGCACCAAGGGACACCTGCTGCATTCATCAACCTGAGCTGCTCAGGCCAACCTGGGGTAATACGAACCGTGTAACCATTCCCACCTCCGCCCCTCATGGCGGAACAAGTTCCAGAGTGCTGACTCCCTGCTCCAGAAAGTAATACCTCCCCAGACTTATGTTAAAACCATAAGTCTTTAGTCTGTAAAGGCTGTTCCCTCCAAAGGGTGTGATAAACGAGTACACATCCAGTGTCTCCTCCTCTGGGCCTCCCCATCAGCCCCTGCTCCTCCCTCACCACCCTGGCTGGATGAATAAATGAGTTTACTAAGCACTCTTCCATGCGTTTACATGTATATTCTTATTTAAACCATGGCCCATTAAATAAAATCTGTTTGGGACTTAAGAGAGGGATAAACGACACGTAGCTGAAAAAAATCATATCTGAGCCCAATTTCTTCTAGACAGAGGAAGCTGCACTATTGAACCATGGAATGAACCTGTTCAGACGGAAAACATCTTAAATAATTAGCTTTTCTTCTATTTACCTTGTGGCATGTTTTCAATGCATTCAGTCAAGATCAATATCTCTGGATCACTCTCTCCTTCCAGTAAGGCTCTGTAAAAATAATTTAAGGAAAAAAAAAAAACTCATCAGAAACATTAGGAGGGGTGAGGGCTTCAGAAGTTTTGGAGAGGCAAGCCCTTCTAGAATGCCCTTCTAAACCCAGGAAGAGGAGTAAACAGAAAGGCGTGGGCCCAGGAGAGGAGGTCGGGGGTTGGTGACCCCAGGTCCGAGGATCCCAGAATAATTACAACTCCCACTGGGGTCCTTCTGGAGTCACAGGTTCGGGGTTGACTAGGAGCAGAGCAAGGGCTGCCATCTGTTTGTAAATAAGGCAGCCAGACGGCATATGTGATTTTCACGCTGAGTTCCCTGAAAGGGAAGGGTAGAGCTGGAAAGCAGACAGGTAGAAGAGGAAAAGGAGGAGCTCAGGCCACCCCTCCACCAGCACCACCCCAGTGACCCTGTGTCCTCCACAAAAGCATCCTGTTACCTCCTCTAATAGAACAGCAAAAAGCACTTGACAGGGCCATCCCTGTGGCCACATCTACAAGCCTAACACCAAAGAGTCTTCGTAAGTTGTCACTCATATGCACAATGCAGAGCCCTGAGGATAGAGTGGCGTGTCAGGCTTCGGCCCCAAAGGACCCAGCAAGCTGGGACAGGTTAGCCCTGGGTGTCCATCACTCAGAGAAACCCCCAAGGCACTGGCTGCCGTGGGCACAACAGTTGCTTGGTTGCTAGAGCAACGTGTGAAGTCACTACCTTCACTTCCAAAGACTACAGTGTATATGGCAAATGGGAACCAGAGGCAGGGCCCACTTGGAAATGGCTCTCTTACCCATGACTTCTGGGCACAGGGACAGAGGAGGGACGCCAGTTCCCAGCAGGGACTGAGCAGTGCAGGCAAACCAGAGCCAAGTTCTATTTCCACTGACTCAAACGTGGTGATTCCCATCCATGTGAGGACCCCGCAGGCAGGCGGAGCACAGCACGGGAGGGCCCGTCTGAGGCAAAAAGGAGAGATGGCAGCCAGTGGGAGTCTACCCCAAGGTGCACGTGGGTGCATTCAGGAAGATGAGGGGCCCAGTCCAGAGCCCCAGCCCTTCCACTAGGGGCAAAAGCCAAGCAACGGGACACCAACCCACTAATCTCATATCCTCATGACCCAGCATTTTAGGTTCCAGGAACACAAATAGCTTCCATCGCTGAGAAAATTCTGAGGTCTGTATACAATAAGAGGAAAGCTCAGGGTAGAAGCCAGACTCCGTGAGGGTCTGTGCCCGGGATGACAGCAGCAGCAGAGGCGGCACACTGCGGCATACCGGGCAGACCTGGGTGAGAAGGCCACGTTCTACCGCAGGTCTTCCCTCGGCCCACTCAGCAGGAAGCCTCAGGTACCAGAGGGCTTCTCGCTGGAGCCACCATGGCCAGGGCAGAAAGTGCCTGTGAGGAGTCCAGCTCAGCAGAGAACTCCGTGACAGGGCAGGGGGCAGAGGGCGGGGGTGGGGGGTTGGCCAGGCAGGGGATGAGGGCAGTCAGGGTAAAGAAGATCCCCTGCAGGGGCAGAGGGACTATCTTCCCCCATCCCTCAAAGAGGAATGCTTTTGTTCCTCTCAGGGGAAATCCAAACCACCATCAAATGTTGACTGAGGGGTTGCCCGGGGGCGCAGTGATTGAGCATCTGCCTTCAGCTCAGGTTGTGATCCTGGGGTGCTGGGATCAAGTCCTGCTTCTCCCTCTGTCTATGTCTCTGCTCTCTCTCTGTGTCTCCAATGAATAAACAAATAAATAAAATCTCTAAAACTTTTTTGACTGAGTTCCGGACCTTGAGTAGGATGCTCTGGTTATCTGGGAGCAGGTGCCAGTCCCCCGAGAAGTTTGTGTGCTCATATGCTGGTTACCAGCCCTGGCTGAGACTGGGTACCAAGCATAGCTCAGAACCTCCTATCTCCTACCTCAGGAGGCCCTTCTAGCAACCCCCACACAAGGCCAACGATAAGCATCTGGCACCAGAGGTAAGAGGACTGTAGTGCAGGGACAGCTTCCCGGCCAAAGGCATCCAGCTCACCAGCAAGGAGAGTCAGATGGAACCCAGGCAGCCTGGGCGCCCGTTCCTACAGGCTGCTCAGATCTCCCTGCCGGGCCTGAGAGGTCGGCATTTCGTACAAACTTTCAAAAGAATAAATCCTGTAGACAGACAGCCCCCTTCCCAGGCTGTATTAATGCAAGCATATTCAGCATCTTTTGATGACTTCAACCAAAACACTCCCTACAGAGAAGCTCCCCCCAAGGGAGGAACTTAGTCCTGCTATAGAGGGTTGAATTCTGGAAGGCAGGGGCATGTGCTACCTTCTGCACCTTAGCACCCAGCACATAGCCTGGCAACCGTCATTTAATTCACTCCTTAATTAAAGACACCTCTCATGACACACATGGCTCCTGCCCTCCACCAGCACAGCTCAAAGAGGCAAAATAAGATTGCTGAGAAGATGCCAGAAATTTCCTCAAAAGCTCCAAAAGGCACATTTTTAAGGAATGGACTCATGCAACTTTAAGGAAAGGGTAGAGCGTTCTCTGGTTATTTTGAGAGCATTGGAAGAAAACAGCCTCCAAGCTGTGGTGACTGTGTGAAATGCCAACCCCCTGAATCACGAGCTATTAGCAAACGTTTCAGCCCCACAGGTTGGCAGCCTCTTCAGCAGGAAAATAAGCAAACATGTGCGGGAAAACCAAGTCCCTGGCCTCACTAAGGAGTCCAGGACAAATCCATAGTGCATAAGTGAGCTCTAATGTGGCCTCTGGCCAGGCTCCAGGCCCTAATAGACCCCACCGGCCATCGGAGCAGGGCCCCGGGTGGGATGAGGTTCTCTGTCCAGGATAGATTATCCTAATGGAACCTCAGGGCCTGGCTGCTGTTAATCCACCTTGGGGGGCACAAGGCACGCCCCTGATAAATGTAGACAAGAGTGAGGGAAGAGGGAAGATGTTTCCAGAAATGATGCCAGTGGAGCCTACTGGGATGGTCGACAAAGTGCTTCCTGGCTAAACGCAGGTAGGGAGTGGTGGGATGGAAAGGTGATGGAGCTGGGAGGAGCTTCAGAACTGCCCCTCTGACCCCCAAGCTCCAGAGAGGGTGAGGGACCACCTGCCACCCTGACTGGCCTGGAGGCTGGGTGCAAGGGTACAGGAGGGGGAAGCCAGGAGAGAGGACCAGCATCATCATCCCAATTGGAAAGGCCCTGTCCCATACCACAGGCATCACACGGAAGATAATACATGCCACTTCTGGTCATTCCTTCTGTATGTGGCTCTAAATCACATATCAAAACCTACCCATCAGTTCTAGAGACTGAAGAAAGAAAAAAAAAATCAAATGATCAACAGAGAGCCCAAGATTACTTAATAAAATAGAGAAAGGAAGCACTGGGAGTGGTTGATGGAGAAACTTCCAGAGTCAGGTTGCCTGGATTCAAATCCTGGACCTACCACTTCCTAGTTCTGTGACCTTGGGCAAGCCACTCAAACCCCCTATGACTCAGTTTCCTCATTTCTGAAACAGGCAGCATCCACAGGCGTGTGGGGGTTGTTAACTAGAAAATTCTTACAATAGTGGCTGTCACAGAGTAGGGGCTCAATAAACTGTCACAATCATCATGACTACCATCTTCGACTAACCCGAGAAGCAAGCTGATTCAGCTAACTGAAGTAGCCCAAGAGGGCACGAGACTCGGTAATCGAAAATCCTGGTCATCAGAGCACCATTGGTTTCTGCAGTGATGAGGGGGGAGGCCAGCAGCCAAACATATGGGTTACTCCTCTCTGTCTCCTCTCCTTGAAACTACAAGATTTTACTAATTTCAGCCATTCTACCTAATAAACCAGCTAAAGTCTCCATGTTAATACTTGGTGATAAGTTTTCAAAAGAGGAGGATCAGGGCACCTGGGTGGCTCAGTGGTTGAATGTCTACCTTTGGCTCAGGTCATGATCCCAGAGTCCTGGGATCAAGCCCCTATCAGTTCCCCCCACGGGGAGCCTGCTTCTCCCTCTGCCTGTGTCTCTGCCTCTCTCTCTGTGTCTCTCATGAATAAATAAATCTTAAAAAAAAAAAAAGTGTCGGATCCAGTTTAGCGAAATAAAATGTATCTCTCCAAGAGCCTGAGAAATTCCAAAAAAGGGCTTTCCTTTGCACAGGTACATGAGAAGGTGGAGGCAGGCCTAAAACAATAATAGAACGACCAGAAATACCACTACGATGATGAATCGCCAGCAGTGGGGAGTGAGCTCTATTGCTTTATTAGCAGTCCAGATCCAGGTCCAGAGACTGAATACTGACTTCCTCCAGGTAAAACGCACTGTTTCTGCTCCCAGCCCCACAGAAAGAGGAAACGGGAAGTTTGCATGTCCCCACTGTATGGAGGAACAAAGGATATGTTTTGATGTTGCTGTATCCGACCTAACCTTTTAAGAAGGACTTTGCCCAAAAAAGAATCCAGGCAGCACTTCTCTGTGTTGCATTTTTGCATCTGGCCAGCCAAGACTCCCTTCAGTGCTTTCCATTTGAAAAATCATCTTACCCTGGGGCAGCCCAGGTGGCTCAGCGGTTTAGCGCTGCCTTCAGCCCAGGACCTGATCCTGGAGACCTGGGATCGATTCCCACGTCAGGCTCCCTGTATGGAGCCTGCTTCTCCCTCTGCCTGTGTGTCTGCCTCTCTCTCTCTCTGTGTCTGTCATGAATAAATAAAATCTTTAAGAAAAAAAATCATCTTGCCCTGCTTTCCATTTCTTCAAGTGACATTTAGAGTAACTGTTATGGATTTCAGTCCCAAAACATTAAAAAAAAAAAAAAAAGCAATTCTTTTTCAAATTTTGAGGGAGAATGCATTGTCTGTTCCCCAGATCAAAATGCCAGGATGGGCCTCTTGAGCACACAGTTTTCAAAGCCCGCAGGTTTGTGGGCTTTGGACTTGGTATATTCCTGGGTGTTTTTAGATTTTTTTGTTTCAAGTCTCTTTTTTTTTTTTCCATTATATTTTCTAACAGCTTCTTCCTAATGACTGGGTTCTGTTCTCTTTATTTTCGGGGGGGCAGGGAGGGATAGGGAGGAGAGACTATTTTCTGGCTGGGCTTCTGCAAGTTCTCAATCTTCAGCCTTTGGGCCAGATCTTTGCATTGGCAGTGGAAGGGAGGGGTTTGGGGCACTCCTGCCCCAGTTTTTCACCGCATTCTGATTATGAACTAAGTTGGAACGAGCAGGTAGTTCATGGATAGGGCTGGCCTCTGGTGGTCTCCTCCGCAAGAGCATGTGATGAGCGGTGCCTTCTCCCACACTCCCACCCAGGAACCTCTGCACTCCTCCCAGCCAGGCTCCAGGGCCTTGCTCAGCCTATGCAGGGGGCCTCCCTCGGCCACCCGTGTCAGCTTCTCCCCACATGCCACCTCCCTATTCCCCACCACCCCTTCTCCTGAATGTCTGTTCAAATCTCCACCACCCTTCAAGACCCAGCTCAATCTCACTTCCCTCCTGAAGCCTTCCCGGATCCTCACAACTCCCTTCTCCTCTCTAGAAACCTCACACTCGAGTGTTTTATGAGACGTTTGTTTCCTACTGTTCAGGAGGTGACTTAGGTCTAAGCAGCCTTGTCCATATCACATGACCCTCAATGCCAAGCCACACTGGTTGGAGGGTTTGTGAACCCCTCTGAGTTGGCGTGGCACCCTGCCTTCCAGTGTCTCTAGAGCAGCCTGAGGGCACTTGGCTTCACAGGTGCGGCTCTTGCCCACCCATCACACACAGCCCTCCGTGTCAGGCCCCCGAGCTCCCCGGGGAAGCCTAAATGCCTGGCATTGCCACAGATGCCATGCTAGCTCAGTGCTCAGGTCCTCGCCCAGACTGGCCCCTCTGCCTGGAAGCCCTTCCCAAATTATCTTCCTGGAAGCCCGTGTTGCATGTCTCATCCACCACTCCCCCACAGCATGTTGCACGCCACTAAGCCTGCCCATCATTCACCTCATCTCTAGACTACTGTGAGACAGATAGGCTTAGTGCTTTCAGGATGCTTCCTGAACTGCTCTGCAAATAGCAGTGAGTTTGTTGAACCACGTGGCATCTTGTTAGAAGGCTGGCTTTGACCAGAAGGTCCAGAATGGGCCTGAGATTCTACAGTTCCACAGGCTTGAGATGCCCAGCGATCCCAATGCTGCCCGTGGGCCCCTGCAGCAGTGAGGCCCTGCATCCGCATTGCACTCCTGACAATCTTCCTGGGAGCTGTAAAACCACCACACCTAGGCCCATCCAGCACCAAGCTGACTGGAACATCTAGGAATGGGCCCAGGGGCCAATGTTTTAACAGGCTGTCTAGGTGACTGCCAGGTTCAGATGCGGCTGAGAACCTCACCCTGTCCTGTCAGAGCATCTCCCCTCTAACCACTCGGCTGCCAGTGTGATAAACACTCACAGTCCAGGAAAAGCCTCATGATGACACAGGTGGTGGACAAGCACCCTCAACCCCACACGACTCCACTGGTGACAGGCAGGTGAGTGCAAACACGGGTCCCCTGTGCCAGGCCACCTTCTCTTGTACTCTCCCTGGTCTCTCAGTGTCAGTCAGCCTGGAATGCTGCCAATCATCAGCTATAGTGTGGGAGGAGAGGGCTCATTCTCACACTCGCCTGTGAAGCCAGACACCAGTGTCTTCCCTGGCTACCAACTGGCCTGCAGGGTTTGATGAGATCCCTCCAGCCTCAGACGCCGAGGTTTGCTTTGTCCTAATTTCATTATTTTATTAAATTACATGTTTACTTATAGACTCTAAGTCTACACTTCCTTTGGAAATTATACTATCTTGTTATTACTGTTTCTTCTTCACACTGAAGGTTACCGGAAAGGGCCAAGTTATCTGGGTTTGGAATTGTCCATGACACTTGAGAGCTGGCTTCAGCATAGCTGACAAATTCCAGCAGTACTGGGATGTGCTTCCAACTTTGAAGAGCCACAGATCCTTTCCTTACACGAGATGCTAGGTCAACATAATGACCATCAGCTACGCAATGCTGGGGGCAGAGCCACTGCGGGGAAGATGTGGAGCAAATCTACACGATCTCAGGAGAGAGGCCATGCCAGTCACACTGCCAGCCACCTTAGACCCTCTGGACAGGGCTGGCGGGGAGTCACACTGCATGGAGCCCTGGGCCATGGACCCCAAGAGGCTGACAGTCCCTGCTGTACTCACTAGGGCAGGGTGTGAAAGGAAGGTCAACTTCCTCAAAGGCAGCAGTAGAGATTTATAAAGACTAAATGGGCACCTGTAAAAGGGTCAGAAGAGCAAAAGTAGGAATTTTCATACCCGTCCTTTGGACAACAGGGCAAAATATAGGGAGAGTCACATCAGCAATGACAAGGGCTCTTCTGCAGGACACTCAGCAGTGATAAAGATGCTAGACTTTTCGTGCCTAAGAAGAACTGGGTTATATTCCACTGCCTGCATGACTTTTTTTTAAGATCTTATTTATTTATTTATTTAACAGATTGAAAATGAGAGAGCACAAGCAGGGGGAGTGGAAGAGGGAGAAGAGGGTCTCCACTGAGCAGGAAGCCCAAGGTGGGGCTCAATCCCAGGACCCTGGGATGATGAGCTGAGCTGAAGGTGGAAATCTAACAGAGTGAGCCCTCCAGGCAACCCCTCCCATAGCTTTTATATCTGTGGACATCTCCCAGACTGAATCCTAAGCCCTAGGAGGCGGGAAGGTCTGTAGCTATTCCAGGCACTGGGCCTGTCATCTGTAGCTGGGCAGTGCCAGGCTCCTCATTTTCCATGTGCAAACTTGGACTTCAGAAAGACATACAGTGAAATCAATCACCCACTTTCCGGAAAATACTGATGCCTTCTCAATGGCTAGGAGGTAGCCAACTCAATTCCTAATTGGGTTAGACCAATGCCAGCAACAGACAGAAAGAAGCATAACAGACAGAAGCCATAACTCTGTCCCTGCCGACAGTCAGACTGCTGACGTGAGCACAAAAGCTTCCCCATCAGTGCCCTCAAAAAAAAGCTCAACGAGCAGGGTTGTGACCTGCCTCTCCAAAGAGTGAGGCCCCAGATGTTCAGGCAAGATACCCACCAAGCCCTCTGACTCCTCCCAACAGAGAACAAGGAGTAAGACAAAAGGAAGAAGAAAAGGGCTCAAATCCCAGAGAGAAGAAGCACAAGATCAAAGTCTCTGTATCCCACCTACAGAACCATTACAAGGACAATCCAACTGCCTCTGTAGGGAAGAGTCACCTGACATCGAGGTCACTGAACACAGGCACAGATGTGGGTTTTCTGGGGCAACCCCAACATCTTCTCTAGGATGGTGCCAGTTTGGGGCACCTCCCACCCCCGTGTCAATCCATGTAGCTCACAGGAGGGTGGCCCTGTCCAGGCTCCAGAGTACTCCATCCCCCTGACTAGGGAGAGGCACATGGCCCAAAAAAGCCAGACTGCAGGGCCCAGGAGCTCCACTGAGATTGGATGAGAAAGGGCCCCTAGGCAGCCCATAGGAGTGCTGAACTAGGCCTGGGCTCTGTCCCAGCTCTGCCCCTAACCAAGGAAGTGGACTCAGCCCCCTTCTTATCCTCTCCAGGTTCAACTCCCCTGATCTCTTAGCAGTAATGCCGTCGGAAGATGGCATTTCCTATTATGTCTTCCACTCCCCCGCCGAGAGGCAAAGTTTCCATAGCTTGTTCAGACTCACGACTAAGTTATACTCTCACATTTCCGGGAAACAAAGGGGACATTGTGACCACTTTACATGCTTTGGTGGGTGAGGCACAGCTGTCTCACCTGCCTGGACCCCTGGCTTCCAGGTCCCCCTCCCTCACCCTATGAATGGCGCAAGTAGTACCCACCCACCAGAGAGGGTACCATGGCAGCCAACAGCCACAAAGGCAGTCAGTCAGCGCTCAGTCATGTTAGTGGCTGTTACTATCCTCACAAAGTGGGGAATCTGGGTGTCTCAAAAGTCCTTCTGCTGTCGTCAGTGTTTGAGATCTGGCCATTCCCTGTACCAGTCCTCACTGAGCATGAAATCTGCAGGGAATAAGGAGCCCCACCCCAACTAAAGACTGCTTAACCCCCGGAGGCAGGACAGACACTGCCAAGGAGAAGGACCGCTTTCTGGCCCACAGGTGGCTCCAGGGACTCGGGACTGCCTTCTCTGCCCAACCCAGCATCCAACCCCTTTGAAGGCTTTGACACTTTTTCATCTGGACTGCTCACCACCACCACCACCACCACCCCACTCCCTCTCCCGACACCCAAGTCATCATCTTGACAAACAAAGCCAGCTGCCTCAGTACAATGTTTGTCTTCTGGCAAAAATGCAGTTACTCAGGGCAAACCCATGGAGAGTCAAGTCAGAGCCCTGGGATCTGAAGCAACAGAGCAGCCGGCATGTAGACTCAGGCCTGTCCAGGTCTGAGTTCTGGCCTCCACTCTCTAGCTCCCTAACTTCTCTGAGCAAAGCTCACTCCCCCTGGAATCACAGTACCTAATTCCCAGGATCCAAGGTGTTGACATGTGCAAAACTTGTCCCCAGCACCCAGAACACACGAACACTAGGCAAGGGTGTGAGTTCTGCTAGTTGCATCGTGGGTGGGGTGGGGTGGGGACCACAGCATCTGCTCAGTGGTCTAAGTGCGGCCCTGTTCTTCCTTCTCTCTCTCTTTCTGGCCCTGGACTCCTTGCCACGCCACACCAGGGGTCTGCTCTTTGATTATCACAAAGCTACAGGGACCCCAGAGGCTCCAGGTGATTTCGCCAAGGCGGTCCCCCCACAGCATCCTTACCGATATGTGGCCACCTCCAGGCTGAGGCCATTCTTCACCTGCACAAGCTCCTGATACTCCCGCAGCCGATCAGCCATGGCCAAGGTGAGGGCCGCCTTCTCATCCTCCAGGCAGGCGATCACGCTCTAAAAAGAACAAAGGGCTTTTAGATCGGAGGGCTGGAGCTCCATGTGGTCAAAATGCAGGTACCAACAGTTCAGGATGCAAAAAGAAAAAAAAAATCTCTAGGCTTATTAATCATGTAATCATTGTAAGGAGTGATTTTAAATAGAGTATTCTTCCCCATGGAAGATTTTTTTTCTTTCTTTACTACATACGGATGATGTTGACAGGACACTGGCTTCTCTGTTCCTACTCTTTAGTAAGAAGGAATGCTTAGAAGTTCATTAAACATGGCAGTTCAGACATCAGGCTACTTAGGAAAAGTCAACGCAGATGCTACTCAAAGGAAGCCCAGACCAGAAAGCAGGGAGTCTGCAACAGAAGTTGCTCCAATCTGAAACAGAATATCCCTCGTACTCATGATTTTCCCCCAACAAGAAGCAGGTACACTCACAGAACTCTTTGTTCCACCCAGAAAAGACAGGAATGTCTTCAGGGCATAAATGTCAATTCAGACCAAAATATGAATCTTCTTTGGGGACTGTACCTGGCAGATGTCGGTCCTGAGCACTCCCTTGGCACCTGTTGACATGCTCCCAGCCCTTAGGGTGTGTCCACTCACACCTGCTAATTCTGTCTGTCCCTCTCTTTCTGGCAGGGAGACACTGAAGGACATGACCTGCACCCCCCATCTCTAGAAAAATGCCCATCCCCTGTAAGTCACACAGCACACAATCGGTGAACTGGACTTGAAGTGATGGAGACGGTGCAATCTCCTCAAAATGTGCTATTTTAAATCAGCAATATCTTTTAGTTGGTACACACAGTGACTTCATTGGCCCCATTTTAGAGTCTTGCATTACTCCGTGTTACAGTTTTGCATTAATGCTTTATAGTTGCTCTGGGGAATAATTAACTGAGCAAATATTTAAACACTGAAATGAGTCCATATTCTTTAACTTCTGGTTGGTAATGGAAAACAGCCTTATTTCTGAATACAATTAACTAAACTGGCTACATCTTTAGACATTTATCTTTGTGGAATTCAAAAATAAGACAATCAGGAGAGGGGATCTATTTCCATTCCCCATGTAATCCCTCCAGCAAAGGTACCAGGCAATGCATTAAAGGTCCACAATAAATACGTAAGATCTGCAAAAGCAATGAATAAACTAAGATCTCACACTAGATCTACCATTTTAAACGATGCACAATCGGCATGTAAATAATCCTGCCTCCCTAAGAGTTCTATATCAGCTAATGATTGTTTCTAGGTTCTCTCTGTGTTCTCTCTCATGCTAAAAACAAAAACTGAAAGGGGCACCTGGGTGATTGAGTTGGTGAAGCGTCTACCTTTGGCTCAGGTCATGATCTTGGGGTCCTAGGATCGTGCCCCACATCGGGATCCCTGCTCAGTGGGAAGTCTGCTTCTCCCTCTCCTTCGGCTCTGCCCCTCCCTCCCCCTTTGCTTGTGCTCAGGCTCTCTCAAATAAATAAAATCTTAAAAAAATAATAATAATAACCTGAAACCTCTCAGCTTTTTAAACAAAGGAGTAGGGCAGTCCTGGTGGCCCAGCAGTTTAGCGCCGCCTGCAGCCCAGGGCGTGATCCTGGAGAGCCGGGATTGCCTCCCACATTGGGCTCCCTGCATGGAGCCTGCTTCCCCCTCTGCCTGTGTCTCTGCCTCTCTCTGTGTCTTTCATGAATAAATAAAATAAAATCTTAAAAAAAATAAAACAAAGGAGTAAATTTAAGAACCTCTAGCTAGCATCCCAGGGTAGATCTACCTTTTTCTAGATATTTTATTTATTTATCATGATAGAGAGAGAGAGAGAGGCAGAGACACAGGCAGAGGGAGAAGCAGGCTCCATGCAGGGTGCCTGGCATGGGACTCGATCCCGGGACCCCAGGATCACACCCTGGGCCAAAGGCAGGCACTTAAACCGCTGAGCCACCCAGGCTGCCCCTACTTTTTTTTTTTTAGATCTATGTTAATATCCTCCCAAACTGGCATTATAAGTAGATAAAGAGGTTCGCCAAAACAGATCACTAGCCAGTCTTGATGTAAGTGATGTAGTTGCCAGAATTTAGCCATGACATTCAGACACTGTATAGTTAAATCGGTTTTTTTTTTAAGATTTTATTTATTTATTCATGAGAGACACACAGAGAAAGGCAGAGACATAGGCAGAGGGAGAGGCAGGCTCCCTGTGGTAAGCCCAATGCAGGACTCAATCCCAGGACGCAGGGATCACGACCTGAGCCAAAGGCAGACACTCAACTGCTGAGCCACCCAGGCATCCCTATAGTTAAGTCCTGTGTTCAAATCCCATGTTCCCCCATTTTAGAGGGAGGATAATCCCAGGGACAAGGTTCGAGTGTAGGGTATGCTATAAAAATACAGAGAGTACTCCATCCTACTACAGGAAATTCAACCTGAATATCAAAACTTGAAAATCATAGTAATTTGTTCTATAGAGGGAACTTCAATTACTATTAAAATTGCTTAGAAAAAAGTATCATATGCACACGCTTCTCCAACCACAAACCTCCTGAGCAGGTCAGGATCTCCCAGTCATGCCAAAGAGGTAGAAATGAAGACTCTCTTTCTTCCCAAAGGGCACAGAGTAGGTCTGTGCCCCGCAAAATCAAGGGGGGGAAATCAAACTCTGATTTCAAAATGAGTATAGTCCCAACAGCATTTCCATGTGATTCAACTCTCCCTAAACTGTCAAAGGAAAATGACTTGACTTTTGGAACCAGGAACACCATTCAGACTTATTGGTTCCTAACAGTCTCCAACAGAAACTGTAACCAATCCTTCAGGTTGAAGAAAGCTTCAACTTGGCTTTGACTCTACCAGAAGTTCTCAAACTGGGGGCCAGGCCAGAGGTACTGGAGCAAGAGACACCAGCTCCTGATTCTAACCAAGCAAAAGCAGTTCCACCTCCTGTTATAAAAGCTGGGTAGAGAGGTCACCTCTTTGGATTGCTATTTAGGGACCTTTTGGATGGCATCACAAGTGATGATGCAACGGAGGTCTGTTTCAGGGAGAGCATGCTGCTGTTAGGTGTCCAGAGAAAGCCCTTTTTCTTAACCCAACTGGAGCTGCTCTCCTCCAAGCAAGCCACACAGACAAAACAGAAGAGCCTGCAAATGTCACAGTCACTCAGAATCTGGACTGGGAGAGCTTGAGGGAATTTAAATACTGTGATACCCTCATTTAGACACCAAAACTAAATGCAGTCATCATAACAAGAGTCAATGGAATGCTAAGTTTGTATAGCTCTAGTCCAGACAATACACTTACAATACCTAGTGGGTATTTAAGAGGCACCTCAAAGTGAACTCCGATCTCCCACCCAGAGCTACCAAATCTCCTGCTCCATCCCCCTCCCCCCCCCCCCCCCCCAGCAAGGAGCACTCTCTTTTTTCAGCGGTTTAGACCATAAGCACTGGAGTTAACTTTGATTTCTTTCCCTCTCTTCTACTGCATCTGATCCATCTGTGCAGACCCTGAGGGTTTCAACCTCAGAGAGCTTGTTCTCAGCCCCTCATAGCTGCCCCTGGTCCAAGCATCCAGCCCCTCCTGCCTTGATTGGCAAAGAAGTCACCTAAAAAGTGCTCCCTGCTCCCACTCCTGTCCCACAGACTGTGTCCAACACAGCTGGCAGAGCAATCACATTTAGATACAGTGAGGTCACCACTCACCTCTGCGCAGAGTCATCCAGGGGCTCCCCATGCTGCTCAGAGCCAAAGCCCAAGTGCTGTAGAGGCTACTCTCCCCCTTGCTCACCCTACCCCACCACATCCACTTCCTGGACACCGTGCACTGTTTCCACCTCAAGACCTTTGAAGGCGGGATCCCTGGGTGGCGCAGTGGTTTAGCGCCGGTCTTTGGCCCAGGGCGCGATCCTGGAGACCCGGGATCGAATCCCACGTCGGGCTCCCGGTACATGGAGCCTGCTTCTCCCTCTGCCTGTGTCTCTGCCTCTCTCTCTCTGTGTGTGTGACTATCATAAATAAATAAAAATTAAAAAAAAAAAAGACCTTTGAAGGCAAGGAAGGGATTTTCTCTGTTTTTGTTTTGTTCACTGCTATATCCTTATCACTTAAGGACCAAGCTTGGGGGATGCCTGGGTGGCTCAGTGGTTGAGTGTCTCCCTTTAGCTCAGGTCACGATCCTGGGGTCCTGGGGTCAAGTCCCACATTGGGCTCCCCGTAGGGAGCCTGCTTCTCCCTCTGCCTGTGTCTCTGCCTCTCTCTCTGCCTCTCATGAATAAATAAATAAAATCTTTAAAAAAAAAAAAAAAAAAAAGAACCAAGCTTGGCACACTTCGTGCTCAATAGCAGTCTAATGAATGAATGAACTGAATGTGTCCACTCTGTGAGTTGTTTTTATTACCCCTGTTTGGCAAATAAGGAAACTGAGACCCAAACAGTGGCAGAGACAAAATTCAGACTCAGGCAGGGCGGCTAACCCATCCCCATTCCAGTCAAAAGAAAGTTCTCATTCAGTCACATTTTGGAGACATAGACACCTTTGATAGCCTCAAAAGGCTAAGAGCTCAGTTTCAAGAGCAAAAATCTCAGTGTTTCTAAGGTAAGGCTGGCATAAACCACAAACATCTTAAGTTTTTGTCCAAAGCTCCTTCCTATGAACTGGGAGACAGTGTATCGCTCAGGCTTCAAGTGATCCAAACCACGTATAAAATGCTGGGGATTTGGCTGTCAGTTCAGCAAACTCCTCTCTGGCAGATCTGGGGGGAGGGGCCTAAGAAAGAGAAGGCCTAAGGAGGAGCCCTTAGCAGAAGAACCACTTTTCTCAGTAAGACAGTCCCAGCCAGCATCTTGTTCACTCAGGCTACAGAGGAGGCCTAGAGCCAGGAAGACAGTGGGGGCACTGTGTGGGGGCTCTGCCTCCAGGTGAGGGAGGGGACGGTTCCCACTAAACCACAGGCTACACAAAAAGGAAATAAAACACATATGACACTAAAACTATCCTGACAACAGCCAACTGGAAGAGTCAGAAAGTATTCTGGGATTTCAGCTTAGGGGGCACCTCTGGGCTAGCCCTAAGGAAAAACAACTATCATTATTCTACAAATGCAGAGAGAATGCTGGTCAAATGTTTACCTTTTATGGAACAGAGAAGAGCAGAAATGTGGATCCTTGGTTAGTTGCTCTGACACTGGCACCTGAAGAGGACACTGACTTAGCTACTTACACACTAGGTGACCTAAGTGCCTCAGTTTCATCATCTGTGAAATGGGACTAATAGGAGTATCCACCTCCTAAGGTCAAGGTGAGGACTAAGAGTGAATACGCGTGAAGGGCCTGGTTCCCGTGGTACCTGGCACATGAGAAGTGCTTGATACAGGCTAGTTCTTAGTAAGGAAACATTTACTACAGTATATTAGCCCCACCACGTTTTGATAGGATTTCAAAAACAAAAAACAAGGGTTTGGGGTTAACTCATGGACACTTACTCCTTAGCAAAACTCCTAGTATTTTTACCCTTAAAAAAAAATACTAATGGTTTGGTGTTGAATCTTTGGGAATGCCATTTGTAATTCGGTTGCTTTAAGGCTAACTGGAATAGATTCAAGATCCATGTAAGAAAACAATACAATGAAACCACACAAATTGGAAGTGAAAAAAAATCCAAGTCCTGTGGGCATTCCTTGCTCCCTACTTTTAGGGCAAAGAAGTGAATTTCAATGCAAGAGGTATTACCAGACTGTTGAGGGCAGGATCCTAGTCCCCATCAGGTGTACCCCAGGGAAGGCACTTCCCCAGTGGGCCCTGGTCTCCTCTATCAAAGAGCAGGACAGTGATTCTGAATGCGCATCCCAGGTGCTTACTTCTGCTGCAGTCAGAGGAGCTCTGTTCATATCTGTGGTTGCACTAAGGTTTATTTAGGAGGGACAGGGTCCTACTTCTAAAAAGGAACCCTGTAACCAGAGCTTCAAGGTCTAAATCGAGCCAAGTGAGCTATGATTCCAATGGTTGAGGATTTTGCCCACACAACACACCTCAGAGAAGCAGTTTCCAAACCTGCTGGCACAGCAGGGGCCTTGGGGGCGGGAGTTGGGGTTCCCTAGAGCCAGGCTCAAGGCTCTGTGGACTGTTAAGTTTGGCAGGCACTTCTTTTTGGTGAAAAGCTCCGAGAAAGCTTCCACCAAGATACTTTTTAACTTCCAGCCAACACAGAGCATGGGGCCCTATGGAACTAGCATCTCCGGCTGCCATCATTGGAGAGGGGAGCACTCAGGCATCTAGAGTAAGCTCTGGAAATCAGCACACACTTCAGCCAGTCCCTGTCCTTGCTCTACCTACAACCCTGGGTGGGGAGGGAAATGCTTTTGAAAATTATGAGGCAGAGGCCCAACAAAACCCACATTCCAAAAGAGTAAATTCCAAACAATTTAGTATTGTACTGCTTCATAGGATTTCCCATCTTGACTCCAGCTCTTTGAATACGGAAACACAAACGCAGCACTCAGAGCTAGGAGTAGTCGCTAGATATTTGCTGATTATTGGTGGACACCTGTCACACCACCATAGTCCTCGAGGCCATGACCACTGTGGCCTGTTTACTTCCTATATTAAAAAAAAAAAAAGAGGCCCGTGTTCCATTTATTTCCTATATTTAAAAAAAAGGGGGGGGGCTGGGTGGCTCAGTGGTTTGGCACCTGCATTAGGCCCAGGGTGTGATCCTGGAGTCCCAGGATTGAGTTCCGCATCAGGCTTCCTGCATGGAGCCTGCTTCTCCTCTGTCTGTGTCTCTGCCTCTCTCTCTCTTTTTCTCTGTCTCTCATGAATATAAAATCTTTAAAAATATATATATATATTTGTCTTCTATATATATAAGGTTTATATATAAGACATATATAAGATTTATATATATAAGATTTTACATATATATAAAATTTCTGAACTTGTGTGGATGTTATCTTAAACTGTCAACCTGAGAACCACTGATAGTATGATTGGGGGATATTTGCAAATGTGGCTTGGGCTAGGCAGGACCAGGGCCAATCCTAGGACTGGACTGGGTGTACAGACAATGATCGGCCACAAGTGTCACCCTGTCCGTGTCAGACGTTTGGGCTTTGCTTCTCTGAAACAGTCACTGTTTATGTCACCCCGCACTTGTAATAACATCCTGCCACGACCTTTACACTACCCAGAGATCTGCTGTCTGCTTGTACCGTGAGAAAAACACCTCGGAGTGAGCTCTTTTCTGCATGAAAGTGCTGCCCCTCCCAAGAGCAAACGAGGCAGTGGCCCGGAGAGCCGAATCCGCTGCCTCCTGCCGGGAAATCCCTCCGGCAAAGTAAGAACCGGTTAAGTTCTCCCCAGGGGCGCCCCACAGCCAGGGGAGGGGGCTGTCATTTTGAACGGCTCCCGGTGGGGACCTGACACGGCCTAGACACCCTCGCAGCGCGGAGACCCACCCGAGAAGGAGTGCGCTGTCGCTGCGGAGCCGTTTCTGGAAGTCGCAGAGGCTGCGCGGCGGACTTCTGTGAGATTCAGGTCAAGGGAACCTAGCGCTGCCCGGGGCCGGGGTGTTCTGTCAGGATGCACGCGCTCGGGGCAAAAGCTACAGAAGTGACAACCTAACGAGATGACAGGGACGGGACCCGCCCGCGGACGGCTCTCCCCGGCTGGCGAGACGCCGGGCCCGAGGCCTCAACCAGGCCCTACGGGTGGGTGGGGGTGGTCCCCTTCAGCGCCCAGCTGCTGGGGCCGAGCGGACACCCTGCGGGCCGGCCCCACCCACGGGCCCCACCCACGGGCCCCGCCGCCCCGCGCCCCGCGCCCGCGCCGCGGCCAGGGGGCGGGCTTGCGGCCGTCCCCGCGCACCCACCTGCCGCTCCTCCGCCTGCAGCTCGTACTCCCCCCGCACCCGCAGCAGCTCCTGCTCCAGCAGCGCGCGCAGCCGCTCCAGCTCCAGCGCCTCGCGCCTCAGCGCCTCGGCCTCCTGCGCGCACAGCCGCGTCTCCTCCTCGGCCTCGCGCCGGCTCTCCTGGCCGCGCCGCAGCGCCTCCTCCAGCCCGCGCACCTCGTCCTCGTACAGCCGCGCCGTCTCCCGCCACGCCTCGGCCACCAGCAGCGCGTAGCCGTCGCGCACCTCCCGCAGGCGCGGCGGGGGCGCGGCGGGGCCGGGGCCGGGGCCGGGGCCGGGGGCGCGGGCGCGGTAGCTCAGGGCCAGGCGGGCGGCGCGCGCGCGCAGCTCCCGCACGTCCTGCTCGCGGGCCGCTTCGAGGCCGCGGCGCTCGGCCTGCAGGCGGCCCAGCAGCTCCTCGAGGGCGGCGCGCGCGCCCAGCGCCTCCTGCAGCTCGCGCCGCTGCGCGCCCAGCTCGGCGTCCAGGCGGCCGCGGGCCGCGCGCTCCTCGTCGCCCAGCCGCCGCAGCTCCCACAGCTCGCGCCGCAGCGCGTCGCGCTCGCCCTCGGCCAGCGCCGTGGCCCAACTCAGCTCGTCCAGCTGCTGCCGCAAGCCGCGCGCCTCCTCGGCGAAGCGGGCCTGCCCCTCGGCCCACAGGGCCTCCTGCCCGCGCCGGCCGCGCAGCTCCTCCTCCAGGAGCAGGTTTTCGCGCTCCAGCTCCCGCACCCGGCACACGTAGTCGTAGAGCCGCGCGTTGAGCTCCTGCAGCTCGGCCTTCTCGGGGCCCGTGTGCAGCCGCCAGGAGAGCATCTTGCTGCGCCGGCCGGGTCCCTCCTGCCCTGGTCTTGTCCCCTCCTCGGCGCCGCTCCGGCCCCGCCGCTGCCCGGGAGGCCCGCAGACTGGGGCGGGAGCCGGCGCGCCGCGCCACTTAGCGGACCCGGCGGGCGGGAGCGGGCGCGGGCGCGGGCGCGGGCCGCGGCCTCCAGCCAATGAGAGCGCGGCCCGGCGCGGGCCCTGCGGCCCGACGGCGCCCCCTGCCGGAGTGACGCGGGCGCGGCGCGGGCTCCCGGCCCCGGCCCCCGCGGGCAGTCCCGGGCCCCGCCGCCCAATAGCAGCCCAGTAACGAGCGGGCGGGCGGGCGGCAGGCTCTCTGGGCAGGGATCCTCGGAGAAGGGACGCGGAGGAGAGCTCCCCGCTGCTGCCCCGACACGCGCACCTGCAGCACCCGAGTGTCCCGGCGCCGATGGAAAGACACAGGAGCCGCCCCTAAGTGAGACAGCTGATCACTTACGGGAGACTTCTCATCCACGGTTCTGAAGCTCGGAGGCCTAAAAATTATATACGTACATATAATGTACACACACAAATCCAATACACATACATATGCATACGCATGCATGGATGTGCATTAAATATTCTATTTTAACTTAGTACATAAATACACATTCACTTGCCACGGCTTCTGTATACAGCCAAGACCTTTCTTTTGTTATAGGTTGACTAGAGGTCCACGTGTGCCTTGTACAAACTACCCGTAGAAGACATAGTCTACACTTTCCAATATCAGTTTCTTTCTTTTGGAGCGGGAACTACAAAAGATTGTGAGGTTCTCCGAGTGCAGAATTTTCCTGGACACCTCCTATCTCACCAAACGTTTACGATTCTCACTGTTCCACCTAATGGGACAGCTGCTTTTTTTCCCAACATCGTGCCTCCACTTAATTGTCACAGAAACCATAGCTCTCTTTTGCACGCTTGCATTTCATTAGTTTTCATGACAGTTATTGAAGTCACAAATGACAACGAACAGGTACCAGTAGCATTGGGGAGCATGAGAACAAACGTAGCTGGCCTTTGGTTGGAGTACCCCTGGATTGGTGGGGACAGAGTGCATAGGGTAGGCCCGGAGAGTCATCCACTGACTTTGCAGTTGGCATGGAAAGGTGAGTTAGTCAGCAAGCTGGTCCAGGGCAGGTCCCTTGAGACAGCTTCCAGGGCTCTCCTTGTGACAGGCATAAGTCTCCAACCACAAATGGGGCAGAGGTGGCCCTTTGTTTTTCTAGAGAACTCGTATCACAGACTCTATTCTGCGGGTAGTAGAAGTATCTTTCGATTTAGAATTCCTCCCCCTTTCTGCCAAGGCTAAGTTAGGGGAGGAAAAAGAGGGGCCAAGGCTTGGGGCAGGGACTCTGGACCCCTGTTATTGTTCACCCTTCTCCTTTCACCCAGGTGCACATTGCACCTGGCCCTTGCTTTTCAGGCCACACTGCTGCTACGATGTCATTACCCAGACCTGTCCAGGGGTCCTATCAGCAACAAGCATCTTTCCTGGACCACGCCGGGACACCAGGGCACTGTGGCAAGCTCGCACAGCTACCTGGACTCAGCAGACTGCCATTTATTTTCAATTCTTCAGCTCGCCAGGCTACCAGAGGTTCTGCTGGCCCACCTCTCCTGGCTTGGCAGGCAGGTGAGAAGGGCCTTCTCAGGACCCAGTGGGTCTCCCAGCAGGATGCTTTGCTCTGACTCATTAGGTTTTCCTTGCCTGGATGCCCATCATGGTCTTAAACTTTGAAAGCTGAAACTTTCCCCCTAAATCTGCTCTAAATTCTGTCCTTGAGAAATGACTGGTTTGGGGTACAGTGGCCCACTTTGGGGAAAGAGAAATAGGGCACTGGGCAATAGCAAGAGAAAAGCAAAAGTACCACTGGTTAATCCCTCAAAATAATGTCCTGCTGCATCAATTTAATTCTCACAAAACTATAACTCAGAGAAGTTGAGCAACTTGCCTGAGGACACACAGTCCCTAAATTTGGGAACAGAAGTATTAGAAGTTGTGACCACAGGGGCAGATTTGACCAGGCAGGGTCCAGCCAGGAAACAGAGGCACACTCAAAAGGAAGGGAATGGTTACTGGGATGTAACGAGAAGACTTTACAAAGGGTTAGATGGGATGCAGAAGCATCAGGAATTAGCAAGAGCTGGAAGCCAAAGAGCTGTTAGCACCCTAGGGGCAGAAGAAGGGAGAAGTGTTGGAGGAGCCTGGAGCTCTGGAAGGGGGGCCCTAGAGGAGCAGGAGCTGCAGAATGCATCCCAGGAGGGAGCAGGTGAAGAAAAGCCCAAACCTTCCCTCTTCCTGCCCTCCCATCTCCTGCAGATGCCTCTCATTGTGGAAACAGAAGTCACTGCGGCCTAGCAGTGCTGTGCTGGGCCCAGCTTTACCGGCTTGTAAGAGCCAAATGTTAAGTTTTCAGGAACTTTGTGAGTCAGTTGTTAAACAGCCATTGTTAAAAATAAAATGAGGTAAGTTTTCCGCGCACCTTGAGGGAGAGCGGCAGTTGTCCCAACCTCCCGGCAGGGGGCGCTGCGAGAGGATGGCGAGCCTAGAAAGGGCTCCAGGGCCGCTGCGGGCACGGCTCCAGTCTGTGTTCAGAGGCGCTGCGGCCCAGAAGCAGAGAGGGCTCCCAGCAGAATTTCAGGGAAAGCTCTAGAAGCAGGGAGGGCCTGTGTAGGGATTGGGAAGTGGGAATAGCGGGTGGTTTCTCTACCTGGAGGATCCGAAACACTGTGCCCCGGGCCGTGGTGGGCCTCCCAAGCAAGGTGGAAGGATTATGGACTTCCCTCGAACAGTTCATGCCACCCTTCAATCCATTGCCTGAGGGGAGGCAGAAAGCCAGGACAGAAATGTCTTCCTGGCGAGTTTTAAGGGCTTGAAGAGGACTCCTGACTAGATCAAAATCGGGAAGGAAATCCTAAGGCCTCAGAGCAGAAGGCTGAGGGAAGTCTCTCTTCCCAGGAGACCAGAAACGGTTCCCTAAGGTGGGGGATGGGGAGGAGCAATGGAGGGCAGTGGTGAAAGCACAGTAGATCCTAGAGAGCTTCTAGGGAGGGGAGCCTTGTACCCCTTTCCCAGCAAAGCCTCAGGGAGACAGCAAAATCCCAGCTATATCGTGAGCTCCAAGAGCAGGGGCCTTGTGCCCAGCTCCCCGGGTGCATCCTTGGAGGGGGGATGGCAGGCCTGAGGGGCAGGGCCGCAGTCATGGCCGGGGAAATCTTTTGGAGGTGTCCACCCCCAGCATGAGGGAGGCCAGGAGACAGAGCACCACCCAGAAGTGGCAGAGGGCCTAAGGGAGACACTTAGACACAGAATGGGGTGACTCCAGCAGGGCCACAACCAGCTCCAAGATGCCTTCTGTGCAAATAAGAAAAAAGAGATGAAAGAGTCAGAGGTACATGGCCTGGCCAGTGGATAGTCTGTTGGTGCAAAGAAAAAGTATCCTTTCCTCAGGAGAGAAGTGGTCCTGTACCTACATCCACAGCTTAGCAAGCACAGCACAGCCTGGATTTTATTCCCACTCACCTCATCATCCAGGTATGTCTCTGCCGTAGGCAACCCATTCAACTGTTCATGGTAGCCCACCGTCCCAGCTTCTGCCTCGGTGGATGAAGACCAAGGGCCTGTGAGGTGAAGTGGAAAGCTGGTGGATGCCAGCACAGGCAAGTGACACGAGGACCAGGTAGGCCTCAACCTCGGTGCCCTGGCACTGGTTAAGTCCTCAAGAATGCTAGTGCAGCCCAAAGGAAGGAGGATAGAGCCTTGAACTGATAGAAGATGAGTTTTCATCACCCTCATGGAAATTGGGGCCCTAAATAGAAATCAGGCTGAAATATAGGGAAAAACAGATCTGTTGTTATTGCCTGCACACCCAAATTTTGTCTGGGAGGCACACCTGCTATTCTGCAGGTTTGGCGAGGTAGAAAATGAGGGATGCAGGGTGGGGGAAATGCACTGGGTCTGAGCTGGGCGCAGTGGCATAGAGTAGATTGAGCTCTTTCATGTCCTGGCCCTTACTACCAGCAGGACCTTGGGCACCACCACCTCTCTGAGCACATTTCCTTATCCACGTAATAATGAAGACAGAGTAACACATAGAGAGCCTCTGGGTTGGATGAACTAGTCCTTGCATAGACCTTACCATGTGCCAGGCACAGTTCTGAGGGCTTTACGTGGATTAATTCATATCAGCAGCACAGCAATGTATGAAGTGGGTATTAGCAATTCTATTTTAATGGCGAGGATACTAAGCCACAGAGCATTCAACTTGCCCAAAGCCATGCAAGTAAAAAGTACAGGATTTGAGCCATCCCTGCTCCTACTCATTCCACTAGACTGGCTGTTATACTGTGAGAAACTTGTCACATAGCACCTGGCGGACAGCACCCAGAAAATATTGGTCATCCTCTTGGGTGGATCCCTGAAGCTCATAGCCAGGGGTCTGCCAGGAAGGCCAGGAAGTGATGCCTGGGATCCAGGGGCCAACGCAGATGACACACAGCTCAGCGGAGTCCACAGCTGAGTGGGGCTAGGGAGGGCAGGAGAGCAAACAGGGACTAGTCTTGAACCTTCCAGACTCCATTTCTTCGTCTGTAAAGTGAGGATAACTCTTCCCTCATAGGATTGCTACGGAGACTAAATAGAGAATATAAAGGCATTCAGGACAAGGCGTCTTTATGCCCTAATACATTCAAAAAACTATTTGAATCCAGCCACTCTTGCTTGGAGCTGGGAGTGTTCCCCACTCTGTCACAGCTCTCTGGCTATTTCAAGAAGGCAGATCATTTGTTTATCACTGTTTCGTAGGAGCGCAGCAGGTGTTTACTGGGGATACATATAGGCTGCCTTTTTAAAAGTGCAAAAATAGCATTTGTCATATGAAAAAAATGCACAGTAACTTAACCTGCATAACCTCCCTCCCCTAATTTGGAAAGTCGTGTCATATACATTACAAATGAACTTGGGAAGGGCCCCAAATGGCAGAGAGACCTCCCCTGGTTAATCTTCCCAAGAGAAACAAGACTCACATTTCATCCTCAGAACTAAAAAAAGAAG